ACAGTGAGCAGGAGAAAAGGCAACCGTCTGTCTTCAGGGATCATCACTCTTTGCCAGGACAGAGTTCTGCTCACAAGGTACAGGTTAACAAGAGAAAAACAAAGCAAGCCTGCTACACCTGCAGTGCACAGGACACCAGTGAAAAGCCACTGTCTTAGGAAAGCTCTCTCACTCCACTCGGTGGCTTAGGATCCTCGAGGAAATCCTATTTCAACCACAACAAACAGTGAATCCCAGTGTGTCGAGACAAAGGAGCAAGGGGTTTCAGACTAGAAGGGAAAGCCAGCTGGATCCCACTGATAACTGCTGGGCTCACATCTGGACAGAGGAGCAGCTGTCTCCAGCCAGGGAAGATCTGCATCTCTCTGAAGGGGTGGGTTAGAAAGACCTTCTGTCTGTGCGGATCACCGCCTTGCCTCTCTGCAGCTGGGCAGGCCCTTCTGAGCCTGCTTGCCCCATGCAGGCGGAGTACGATGGCATTCATTTCTAAATGGGCCTGGGAGCCAGACACACAGATGTTCTCTGCATCTTGTCAGGGGACTCCACACAGCTTGATCTCCACACTCAGAACAGGGGCTGAGGAAACGCTGAGTTATAGCTTTGTTATAGGGTGTTCCCACTGAGGTTGGCAACCCCAGGGCTCCCTGCAGAAGAGAGTGCAAATGAGACTGAGCAGGGAGTGAGTTTCCAACTGGTTTTCAACTTCTTCTTCAGGCTGGAGCCCGGACTAAGAGCTTTTATTCACAGAGTCACTGTGCCCTCTGGTGGGCATAAGCTCTGAAGACTTCACTCTGCTCTTTCTGGGGAATCCCTGTCCCCAAACATTTCTTGTTATCGATTTCCCAATTTTCTTTTTCCAACACTCGAACCAGATGATTCACTTAGAAACACCGTCCACATTTCAGAGCTTTCCCTATCTCAGGCTTTCTCTCTTTCATGTGAGATGAACCAGTTCATTCTGATCGCAGGTCAACAGTTCTAGGTGGCTTTCTGTGCCGATGTCACAAAATACCCAAATCTCTAACCTCACAGAAAGTAGCTCCTATGGGCTCATGGTGGGTGTGTGACTAAGTCAGACTGGGCCAGGGGGAGTCAAGGAAACATGGAAAAACGTCTACAAAGAGATCTGACCCACGGAGTGTTGGAGTGACTGAATTTGTAAACTGCTGAGGAATATGAATGTGCTGTGTGTATGTGCTCTCTGGGTGTATGTAGGTGCATATTGCTGTGTGGTGTGTGCATGTATGTGTGCATGTGCTGTGTGTGTGTATGTGTATGTGCTCTGTGTCTGTGTGTATTTGTGTATATGTATTGTGTGTGTGTGTGTGTGTGTGTGTGTGGTGTATGTATGTATGTGTGCATATGCTGTGTGCATGTATGCATGTGTGTGTGCGTGTGTGTAGATGTATATGTGCATGTGAGCATTTGTGTGTGTGTGTGTGTATGTGTTTATGTATGTGTGTGTTTTGGGGTGTGCTCGTCAGATTTGTATTATTATACAAAATACAAGAGACAGACCACTTAATAAGAAGAGAGCTTTATTTAGCCCTCAGTTGGGATGTTCAAAGGCTAAGTGCCTGCATGTGTTAACTTGATGGGGATAAGGGCTGGTGGCATGTCACAGTTGGAGTGTGTCAGCAAAGAGCAAAGCCTCTAGCTAAGATGTGGAGAAACTCCAGAGACTGGGATTCCACAACGGCCATGAAGGGCAAGCCTCTATAGACCTCCCATTATGCCTGACTTCTCAAAAGACCCCAGAGCTTCCTCATCCAGCCACCCTGGAGGCCAAAGCTGTAACGGTCGCCCTTGGCAGGGTACTCAGCTAAGCCACACTGAATGTACTTCCTTCTCCTGGAGTCCTTAGTCAGCCTGTTTCCAACAAGTACGACATAATTGGAGCGATACTTTAATCGGGGGGGGGGGGGGGGGGGGGGGGGGGTAGAATTCTGCAGCTTGGATGTGGAAGATGCCGAAGTGAAGAGAGATTTAAGAAGGCAGCAGGCAAGACTGGTACGGAGCCTGGGCAGAAGCAGGATGGCAAGTGACAACAGGGGCGGGTTGACGGACCATCCTCTGCTGTCCTAGGGGTGTCTGCGGAGGGCAGCCTGGTGCACAGTGACCGGTGTGGGCACTGGGCCCTGGCTACTTAGTAAAGGGAAGTGGAAGCCAGAGCCGGGGATTCGGGAAGGTACTACATAGAGGAGAAACTGCTCGCTAGGGGCTAGATATTTGCAACGATTGCATTTGAAAAGTCCGGAAGTATCTCGGAATGGAAGCAGTTTGATTTAATCGCCCCTGATACCACGCAGGTTGTTTTCCGTTCTCACCCTTGGATTTTGAGGGCCGACAGAGAAGTATAAAGGCGCCATCTAGTGGACAAATAACAAACCTTTTAAAATACTTCACAAACAGAACAGTCCCATCAGCTTGATGAAATGCCCCTCCCCTCCTCCCCACCGCTCAAGAAGGCTCGCTAATTGAAAGGCTGTTCCTCTGCTGATGGCTTCATGGTGGGATGTTCTGGGGATTTTAGGAGGTGGGAACCACCTGGAGGAAGCAGGTCCCTTCTTCCTGTCCCGCCATCTGGTTCGAGTGTCCACCGGGGGGGCCAAGGAAGTGTAGACTGGACTCAGAATCCATGAGCCGAAAAAAATCTTCCCTCCCTGAGGTTGTTGAGCAATATGTCTCCTGGACGAGACAAGAAGCAATACATGGTTTTCAAACAATAACATTCTGCAGGTCAAGGCATAAAAGTACCGCGGTGGAATCCATGTTCTGGAACAGACTGAAGAAGCTTGTCAATGGCAATCAGAGCTAGCTCCAGGAGAGAAGGTTAAGTGAGAAAGTGTAGGATACTCCACAGATGTGCAGTCTTTCAGTGTGGAGAAGTGAATCTTCTTATTATATATTCTATAGCCCAGAGCATTTTTATGTATGAATCATGGGCAGGTACTAAATATTCAGAATTAAGATACTGCACATAGCTCAATACTAAAAAGAAATTAAAACGTACACTTTCCTTAAATACTTCTCAGAGAAGACAGAAATACCTCCTCTCCTTTGCAATTGCATTCTAGCATTGTTCCACGTGAAATACAAAATGAATAGGTAGTAACGGATACTAGCACGTGCTTGTTGATTGTGAAGCTGGGACAGTGTTCGAGCCCTGTTCTGTTCTACTCTACAAGCATTTTGGATTCGTTAACGTTGATGGCTTTGTGAGCTTTGTTTTGTTGTCTTTGGGGGCTTGTTGTCTTTGCTTTGTCCTGCTCGGAACCATTTCCTTCCGTCCCACTCTCTCAGCTTATGCTAACTCTCCTTTGTCATCTCTTAGGGCCCTTTGCATCCCTACTCACTTCAGTTTGCGAGTACAGGTTTTGTGCAACTGTTTTCTTTGACTCGTACTAAACAGACCCTGAACTTCTTGAAGTGAGGGATCATTCATCGGCTGGTTCCTACATCCCCAAAGCTCAACAAGACACCCTCACCTAATTGTGCTCAATATACGCTTTTCATTTGGGACAGCTTGTAAGTGACTGACACTGACTGAAAATGATGTGGGCACAGTTCAAACAGGACAAAAATCAGGTGTTTGCAATACGGGGAGCTGTTTCAGGATGCTGAAGACTCCACCACAGCCATGTTTGCTCCTAAAGTATCTTCCCCTGCAGTATGGATGTTTTCAACATTCTTTTCTGTCGGACACACTCATGACTCGGCTCTTTGCAGAGTCACACTCACTGGCAGGTCTTAGGGAGGCTTCGGCTTGCCTACCTTATCTCCACCAATCTGTTCTGCTCTGGGATGTTCTGTATGGCAAATGTGTTGCTAATTAGTCAATAAATAAAACACTGATTGGTCAGTGGCCAGGCAGGAAGTGTAGGCGGGACAAGGAGGAGAATAGAGCTGGGAAGTGGAAGGCTGAGTCAGAGAGACACTGCCAGCCGCCATGATGAGAAACAGCATGTGAAGATGCCAGTAAGCCACGAGCCATGTGGCAAGGTATAGAGTAATGGAAATGGATTAATTTAAGCTGTAAGAACAGTTAGCAAGAAGCCTGCCATGGCCATACAGTTTGTAACCAATATAAGTCTCTGTGTTTACTTGGTCGGGTCTGAGCGGCTGTGGGACTGGCAGGTGAGAGAGATTTGTCCTGACTGTGGGCCAGGCAGAAAAACTCAAGCAACACTGTTCTTTACCTAAACGCTGCAAATGAGAGTATAGGTTATGCAGAGATACTTTCTGAGGTAAGTATATTAAGATGTATCTTCAAGGTGCCACGGCCCGGTAAATTGCTCCTCCTAAACATAGCCCTATGGAAATTATGGAGTCTGCATTCACACCTTCAATTGCACTTGTCCAAACCAATTTGAGGAAATACATAGAGAAAATTGAAAAGGCCAGTGGAGAGCTCAGTCAGTAAAAACGCTGGCTGGGGATACTTGAGGACTGGAGTTTGATGCCCAGCATCCACAGGCAACCTGAACAGCTGGCTTGTCACATGGCGAAATAGGTACAGACATTTGCCACCAAGTCTGAACACCTAATGCCCATCTCTGGATCTCACATGGGTGGAAGGAGAGGACTGACTCGTGAAGATTGTCAAAGACTGTCAGTTAACCTCTACATACACTTTATGGCTTGTGTGTGTGTTATACTCACACGCACACCCCCCACACACACACACATACACACACTGAGAAAGAGACGGGGGAGGGAGAAATTTAAGCTAGGCACTATGGCCCATGTTCTTAATTCCAATTTGGGGAGGTAGAGACAGAAAGGATCCTGGACAGAAAGGAACCAGCAAGCTATACACACACACACACACACACACACACACACACACACACACACACACACATCTAACAGACAAGGATTTTTTGTTTGTTTGTTTGTTTGTTTCTCTCAAAACCCATCATTGAACTCTGTCAGGCTTCCTTTATTCACATAGGCAGAGAAGAATAGGTTCCTATAAATGGACACTGTGTGTTCTTGTCCACATTTCTTTCGATTTTCATTTTGAATTTAACAACTCTTTATATGGTTCCCTTGGCATTTCTGCCTGATCTCGTGGTGCCTGTGACGGTTCAAATGTGAGCTGTCTCCAGCCAGTAGCGCTATCTGCGAAGGAACAGGGATTTTAGGGAGTGGGATGTCACTGGAAGAAGCAGGTGATTGACAGTATGTCTTTGAAGGACCAGTCTCGTCCCCAATACTTTGCTGGTTCCATTTGCTTTCCAGCTACCACGAAACAAGCAACTCCTCCTCCACAGGCTCTTGTCGCCATATTGTTCCGCCTCACCTCGGGCTAAAACCAGGGAGCCAGTCAACCAGAGCAGAGGCTGAAACCTCTGGAAAGACGGGCAAGAGAAGTTTTCTTCCCATGAACCGCTTCGGGTGTTTGTCACAGAGACTAAAAGGCAAATGGCAGCACTGCTTGATACTTTTTGGTATATCTGCTATATTTTTTATCTTAAAAAAAAGATTCCCCTTGTTGCATCGGTTTCATTGAGTAGATGAATGTGGATGTGGAAAACAAGCTATGATTCTCACAGATCAGGAGTTCCGAAAATAAGTTTTCTTTCTGTATTTTCTTACATTCATCGAGCTCCTTCAGTGTGTTTCGGGGGAGGATGCAGCACCCCAGGGTGTTCGTCAGTGGCGTCAAGGCTTCTCCTGTGGAATAACCTTCCAGGGCCCCCAAATGATACCTAGTGAACTCTTTCATGCCGTTTGAGTTTTCTCCAAGATCCAGTCCACATACTTGGCCACGTTGGTGTAGACACCTGGCCTTTCCTTTTGACCACAGCCTTCACCCCAGCTGGTGATGCCCACCAAGTGCCAGACCCCACTGTGTTTACAGGACAGCGGCCCTCCAGAATCTCCCTGCGAAGGGGGGAGAAAAGGAAACATGCGTGGATCGCTTCAGATGCGTCCTTGTATTAAGTACTGTTCACCGCAACTTTACCTGAAATTCTGGTCCTTTCACAAGGATCTAAACATCCCATTGCTTACCTTCATCCAGCTTTTCTATTTTAGGTTTTAGTTTACCTAAAACCCACCACATGTCCTGCTGTGATCACAATTAATCTGAGTTGTCAAGCTCACACACCCAAGAAGAGGGAACTCCAGCTGAGGGGCTACCGCCATCAGATTGGCATGTGGGCATATGTCTGCGGGGTGTTTTCTTATTGCATATATATATATATACGTATATATATATATATACATATATATGTATATATATAAAACAAAAGAAAAGTCGCTGAACAGGAGCCCAGAAATAAACCAGCAAGGGTCATCCCTCCAGTCGCTGCTGTGGTTCTGGACTCCAGGTTCCTGCCTCCGATTCCTACCTTGGCTGCCCTCTGTGGTTGACTGTAGCTATAAGCTATACAGTCTTTCCTTCCCTAAGTGGTGTTTGGCCAGTGTCTCCTCACAGCAACAGAGGGCAAACTAGGACAGTGCTCCACGGTAGAATGACACGTTTTTAAAAATGCATTAAGCGCTCTCTCCAATCTGATGGAGCTGATTGGTTGAAACCCTCCTACCTTGCATGCATCCTTCCCCCCTTCTTTATATCCTGCACAGATCATCTTGTTGGTTATTTTATGCTTTCTGTATCTTGTTTGACATTCTTCATTTGACACCAATGGTACCTTGGCTTTCTGGAGAGTATTTTGTATTTCGCCTGAAAAAGATCATTTTAGTGTTTTAGTGGAATAATATTATGTGTGTGTATACAATTATACTTAAAAGTCAAAATTTTACACAAAAATCTTGAAGGAAAAAATGACTAAGCTTAATTAATTTTTATAATTACAGAGTATAAAGACATTATTTCCACTGTTGTGCATATAATTTTATTGATGTTATTAAGTTTAAAATTAATTATGACACAAAGTAGAATTTCTTTTCAGACAAAACAATTAGAAATCAAGCAAGAACTTTTATATAGAGTGTTAGGCCTCATACTAAAAGTCTTCAGTTAAAATAGTCTTTCAAGAGGGTTAATCATATTTAATATTTTCATCAGATATATTGGTCTTTTTATTACTCTTCCTGAAATTGATCAGTGTTACTTTAATCGCATTTTGGCCATGTGACTAGAAGGAAAACAAAGGTTATGGTTCAGCTCTGCTCTTCGATTTCAGGATAGAGCAGAGATAGATGAATCCGCTGTTACCTCGTGGTCTGGTGTACCCCCATCCAGTCACCCAGCACTCTGTGTACAGTACGTTCCTGTCTCCTTTAGAAGGTAGGCATATCGGCCGCTGAGAATCTAGTTGTGGAAATCATACTTTCGTTATCAGAAGCCACTATGGTTCGGATCTGAAGTGTCTCCCCAAAGGCCCACATTTCAAAGACTTCACCCCACTTTGTGTCACTATTGGAGATGGGGAAGGTGGGGCTTCTGGAAAGACATTAGGTCATTGGGGGTGTGCCCCTCATATTAGGACCCCAGCCCCTTCCTTTCGGTCTTTCTGCTTTCCAGCATCCATGAGGTAAACAGTTTGCTCCTCTGCACATTCCTCACCAACGGCTCCAGTAAGGTCCCCCAGCCCCAGGCGGAAGCCTCTGACATCCCACAGCCCAGATTACTTTTCTTCCATACCAGGTAGTTACGTCAGGAGTTTTGTCAGTGATGACGAGCTTTCTAACACAGAAGCAAAACCAATCGTTTTCCCCAGAAAAGACTGTCATTTCACTTGACTTTATTTGTGCTTTCTCTATTTATTATATCCATGTTATCTTTTTCTCAAATATTCTCATGTTTTGTGTTCAGTGTTGTATATAAAACATCCCAAGTCAGGGCTGGAGAGATGGCTCAGTGGTTAAGAGCACTGATTGCCCATTCAGGGGACCTGGGTTCAATTCCCAGCACCCACATGGCAGCTCACAACTGTGTAACTCCAATTCCAGAGGACCTAACACCCACACCCAGACATACATGCAGGCAAAACACCAATGCACATAAAATATATACAAATAAATAAATAATACAAACAGCTGCACACCTTTAATCCCAGCACTTGGGAGGCAGAGGCAAGCAGATCTCTGTGAATTCGAGGCCAGTCTGGTCTACAAAGCGAGATCCAGGACAGGCTCCAAAACTACACAGAGAAACCCTGCCTTGAAAAAACAAAAATAATAAGTAAATAAATAAATAAATAAATAAATAAATAAATAAATAAAACATCCCAAGTGGAAGGGACAAGAGAAGGATAAGACATGCCTCTTTACACAAACTTTCATTTTAACCAGGTTTCATGTTCTGTGGTGTTTCCTTAGTGTTATTCTCAAGTCTTTTGTCCCTAAAGCAAACTGTCAGTCTTCATTATTCTTATTATTTCTGTATTTTATAAAATGATGTCATTCTCTGAACCTGAAGAATCTCGAAGGCAAGTCTCTTCACCTGCATCTCAGAGTGTGAGCTAGTATTCTCAGGCAAGACTGTAGGTCTCAACAGAGGGAGGCCATCTTTCTAGACCTTTCCTTGTCTTGCTGTTGTAAGGGCCTGGCAGATGAGACTGCTTCCTCCAAGGCTGAGCACGTTATCTAGGTCACCTTTATAGACCACTTCCCACCTAAAATTCTATATACCTGTATAATTCATGGCTGACTCCAGTTTCAACAGGGCTATATCATACCCAGTTTCTGCCATCTTGTATTGATCATGGATTATTATTTCTTGAACCCTGAAGAAAGCAGTATCTTCATTTATTTCTGATTGATTTACAATGTCACCATAGACACGCAGGTTTTCAGATGTCTCTACCCTACAGAACAAACCACAGAGTGAAAAAAAAAAGATCTATCACTAGACAATTCCCAGACATTTGTGTTTCACAATTATTTGTACTTGGCAATCATTTCCACCTTTAGGAGGAAAAAAAAGTGATTTTATTCTAAAAAAAATTTAGTCACATATTTCCCCTACAAAGAAAGCACTGGATAGAATTTGCTTTATATTGAACATATTCTCCAGCACATCCACAAGCTCAGGAAGAGCTGGGTTTTAGTCTCAACCTTGTCACTGACAGAAGAAAATCACATGAACTTTCTCATATGAGCTCATAAAGGGGATTATTGACCTCAACTGTAGTGTTAAGTTATGAGTATGTGCATGCGTTATGCAAAAAAAATCAACAAAAACAAATAAACGTGTAAACCTCTGTCTGAAAACAACTGAGAGGACACTGAAAGCAGCAAAGGGGAATTGTGCTCAACCAAATTGCCTCGGGTTACCCACTTCCCCAGGTGAAACATTTACATTCGCTCAATACTGAACATCATGAAAGTAAGGGATCCAGGTTGATGGTGTGTACTGAGCTCTATGTGTTTGGGGGCAGAGAAAGAGAGAAGAAGGGAAACATGGCCCCAAGAGCAGGAAATTGGGAGCTTCATGCTGGCCCTCTGCAGCAGGAAATCAATGACTGAAAGCCTTTGGAAATCGTTGGCATTCGGATGTAAAGGCAGAATGGTATGTTCCAGCACCTGCTCTAAGGCTGCCTGCCAGATGAGGAGTGGTTAACTCTTCCCTGTAGTTGGCTCTCCCCACACAGAGAGAATTCATTTAGCACATGGGATCGTCTATAATTTCAAAGTGTTTATCTACTATTACGGTAGCCCAGATCTCACCTACACATGAAGCCCAAGGAGAAGAGCAGTAGTACTAACCCAGAGAAGCAATGAGCAGCTGTCAGTATCCACTGGTTTCCAATGATGGAGCCTCCACACAGGTGTCCCTGGACAGGCGAGGTGATGTGTAGGGTCACCTGCCATGGCCACTCACCATGAACAGATGTGGTTCCTCCAACAATCCTGGGCTTAATTTTGGTTGTGCACACTATAACAGAAAGTGCATGGTGAGTACTTGCCTATGGCGTCATTGTCATGGGTCCTTCTGTTACTTGAGAAGTCTCTAGGAAACCTTTCAGCCTATAAGCAAGAAGGTAACCTTTAGAAGGTTAGTGAGCGAGCGGTAACTAGGGTACATTATCAGTAACTCAATGAAGACCTTTAGTAATAGTTACATCACGATGTCTGTTCCATTAGTTTAAACAGAATGCTGGAAATGCTCAACATTGCGTTTGAGATTAGGAAACACTTCTTTTAGCGGCATTGCTGGGTGTCTTTAGAAAGTCAAATTACACTAGAGACCAGCAGCAGTGTAAATATGACAAGCACCTCGGTTAGATGTGCCCTTTACAGGAGGGTATTGTGTAGTCTAACACTGTACTGTGCAACCTACTTGTCTAGATTACACATCAGAAGGCAGCTGAGAGGACACACAGTTTTATTTTCTTCCATATTTTCTCCTCTAGCTATCAATCTGCCACTGATGTGTTCTGTCACCTCCACAGGCCAGAGTCTATAAATTCAACAGAGAAGAACATAACGAAGGCAGAAAGGGGTGAGAAACGGAACCTTCAATTTATCAAGGTGTCAGTTCCGGAACTCAGTTTTTAAAGCATGCCCACATCACTTAACAGTATTTTCTAATTGTCCCATCTGCCACTAAGAAGTAGAATTAAGACAACACTTGTTTTGAACGTTCCTTTTTATTGGGTAAATTTATCGTGAGGAAAACAGAGAATGGATGAACTACACCTTAACTGACTTTCTTAAGAGGCGTGGGTCACCCAGAGATCGCCATCAAGTCTCTGACTCTAGGAAGGCATGTTTTCTGGTTAGGATGTTAGAACTGCTGGGACAAGACATCCAAATGTGCTATAAATCAGGTCCTTGGAAGCTGAGGATGGAGTCACCTTCTAGCCTAGTAAAAGATTTGACACAAAAGAGTTTGTACTTCCAAAACTGTCACGAGGAGTGATTAGTGTTACATTTCGTTTCCTAGATCTCAGGTACATCACAGTTAACAGGACATCATAACATTGGACATTATGCAATATATATAAAATCATTATTTATGTTTCACTGAAAGATCAAATGGGAAGACAAATGAATAACTTAATTAATGCACTGGTTGATAGTTTAATCACTGAAAATTAAAACAAAACAAAACAAAATTCTTTTGGTGTTGAAAGCAAAAATCAGCCCTCTGGGTCTGTCTCTTCAGGAAATGCTTCTTGAAATATATATAGATATAGATAGATAGATAGATAGATAGATAGATAGATAGATAGATGATAGAGATAGAGATATAACACATACTCAATTTATCAATTCATGTAGAATTGAATGAAGAATTGGTTCATATGCTTAAAGCATAGGAAGGTTGGGCAAAAGAAGCTGGAATAAAGGAAAATCTCTAAATGTGTTAACTCACTAATTATCTCTCTTCTGTGTCTATGTTTGTTGTCATTTTTGATACATGATCTTGCCATTTAACTCAACCTGGCCTCAAACCTCTGATTCTCCTGCCTCAGCCTCCTGAGTGCTGGGATTATAGGCTTTTGTCACTGTTTCCACCCTCTGTGGTTGCTGCTTGCCAGTTTTGTGTCGATGTTACCTTCACTTGAATGCTTTCCTTCAGTTGCAGTGTTTCAAGTACTCACCATTATCCATTTTGCACAACCTCAATGTGTATCCGGAGATGCCGCCCCCCCCATGAAGTATTCTAGTCGGAGATCCATTCGAAGAAAGTTTTAAGTAACATCTGCCCCTATGGTTGAAAACAAAACAGTATAAGCATAACGCATTCTACAAAGAGGTGCTCCAAACACATCCACCTTGACTCCTGTCTTACTTCCCTTCATTGCAAGACCCTCGAGACGGGGAATAGGTAAAGAACTGGCAGCGGACGGAGTTGGTGCACATTTTCTGGCAGGTTTCATGGCCTTTCACATCAACGATGTCCAATTCTTCTCCCAAGAAATCGGTGTCATTGTAAAAGGACGGATGACAGAATACTAGACAATGAAGCACATGCCAGATTCAAACTGTGCAGCCTTCACAGTCGTCTATCTCGGGGCTGTTGAGCTGGAGAAGGAAGTCCTTCAGTGTTTACCTGGGGTGCTATGCCTGCAATGCTGGAGACTGAAGCCAGAAAGGGCGTTGCTCTTTGCAATGCGTGAGCTTGGTAATCCACTTTCAGATGTCTTAAGGAGGCAAAGATGTCTAAGGCACAAAAGGGGATGTATAAATAAATCATTTAGAACATATCAAAGAGACGGAACACTGTTACAGCGCATATGGAAAGTAAAGTCAGCTCCCATTGGCATTTAATAGTAACCATGTCCCTATCATTCCTCTTGAAACATTGAGTCACAACGTGCCATTAAACTGTATGTCATCAAGAACTTTTCAAAGCGCCTTGGAACTTGCCCTATGGTCAGTGTTCCCAGAGTCTTCCCTCCTGATGTTCCTTTCAACAGGTCCCACCTATCTCAAAGAGTCCGGCATTTGCCTGCTACTTAGATATGATGTCCTATCTGGATTGTACAGCACATCTGTATTGGTTGCCTTTAAAAGAGGACAAGTCACCCTTAACGGCAGCTTCCTACCTTTGAGATTCTTTTGGCCATTCTTTGGAAAAGAATGTAAAAAACAGACAACTGGGGTGATGGGTACAAATCCGCCGACAGACAAAAGCGTCTGGGGCCAGCACGCTGTCAATGTTGGGGTCTGCAAGCACCGTGTTAGGGAAAACGTCCCTGATGCAAGCTGTACAACAGAAGAAACTGTGTTAGGCAGTCAGGGCACCAGCCACGTCACAGACATTGTGTTTGCTCATTATATTAAAAGGAGAAAGTTAACCCAAAGATTTTTTTATTATTATTTATAAAAAATAACTGATTATTATTTGAAATTTAAGAAGAAATTCTTTCCATGACATAATGAGCCACATCACATGAAGACAGTGACAGGTCATTGGGTCTCCTTCATCAGTGAACATCAACCGTTTTCCAAGTTTGACCTACAGCACACATCCTCAGCTTTCTCCAGGCTTCATGGGGCAAATACCTCCTTGAGAAAGCAATAGTTACCCAAGTTAGAAAGTCCACAGGACTTCAGGGAAAATCCGGATACCACATGACCGAGCTTTGTTATTCTGGTTGGTGTCCCCATTTGAGTGTACTTCAAAAGACAAGTTTTACTGAATAAAACAAAAATGGAAAATATCATTCTTTCCAAGTATATAATAGCACAAGAGGATAAGAAATTACCATCTGCAGGGAGGAAGTGGCTATAATAATAAAGGAATTACTCTGAGGAATGTTCGCCTCCAGGGTTAGTTGGCAGCTCCTCTAACCACGGGGTGGCCCTGTGGACTCAGGAACAATGTTATCTCATCAGTGAACAGACAACCTGAGAGACCCTATGCAGTGTGAGGAGTGGAGTGGGTAAATGGGTAATTTCTCCAGCTCTTTGTAACTTTAGCCCTCTAAGTACACTTTTTTATAAACCCTAGGAACATTTTCCTGACTCGCAGTTCACATTCTGTTAAGCCGAAGACATAAAAATTGTCCTCTGAGTGAAGTAAAAAGAACCATAGAAGGCTATTATCCATTTTTTATTACTGACTTTTCAATACATCTCTGATGCTTTACTTCCTATTCACTTCTTTTTCAAAACTGAGGAAAGCAGAATATGAATAGTCAATGTTAAAATCCAACTATTAAAAATGTAGTTTAATGGGCAAATCTGGGTCATGTCACAGATTCCTAAATCTAAAAATGAAGCTTGGGAGCTGGAGAGATGGCTCTTCTGGCTTCTACGGTTACCTGCACACATTGCATCTATACACACAGCACCCACACCCACACGCACACAAACTTATTTTAAAAGAACAAATCGTATAATTTTCTAGCAAACATTTAAAGCTAACAGGGCAGATTTAGTCGTTAGTGACCAGATCACTTTTCTATTATTATGTAATAGTTATCTTCCCGGAAGATTTCAAAATCCCACATGAAACAGTCTCAAACGTTGCCCACGAGCTTCAAATACTTCATCTTAGGGAAGGAACAGAGCAGTCCAGTTAGCTGGATAGATAAACAGACTTGAAGTTTCGATTCTTTAGGTCAGGACTACTCCAATATTTGTTAGACTGGAAAGAGTACCAAACCAGTTGCAGCTCCCTCAAAACTACCAATGCAAAAATGTAGTGCTTTTGAAGTCAGTTCCGATAGAGGGTAAGCGTATGTCTGCCTTATAACAGTGTCATTGAAACAGAATCTGTGAGGCTGCACTGTATGTACTGTCCATTGCGCGCGCGCGTGTGTGTGTGTGTGTGTGTGTGTGTGTGTGTGCGCGCGCGCGCGTGTGTGTGTGTGTGTGTGTTATGTGGGTATGCAAGTGTGAATAGGAAGTCCAAAGGAGGATTTTTAATGGGAGACAGCTTCTCTCATTAAACCTGGAGCTGACCAGTGAGCCCCAATGATCCCGTCTCTACCCCCTCACCCTATCCCCAGGCCCCAAGCACTGGGGTTAAAGGCAGGCACAACCACTTCTGGCTTTTATATCGGCACTGGGATACCGACTCAGGTCTTCATTCTTGCACAACCAGTGTGTTTACACATTGAAACACCTTCCAGCCCTGAAACACAAAATCTTGATTATGAATTAAATGCATGCTAATTAGACACTCAATGAGCTTTCCATGACGAAACAGGGATTGCTACTATGCAAATGTCTTTTGAGGGTTAAGGAAATTTAGGCTTCACGTTGATGAAAATAACTAATGAATCAGTGGTTTTCCTTGCACTGACACTCCTATATCCTGGAGCTCGGACTCCGGCTCACTTACCGATGCGCCACACTGGGAAAACGCCCTGTTGCGTATGTGAAAAAGTGGCAGTGGGCGTCACTTGTGCATCTCTCTTGGCATTCCCGAGCATCCTTCACAACAGAACTGTTATAGTTCATGCCCTTCATGTCTAGGTCCACATACACATCTTTGCTGCAAGCTGGAAAAAAAGGCAGAAAATGTGAGCACCGCCAGAAGCCAGGAGCAGCTGCCGTAGGGCTTCCCCAGCAACTGGCGCTCTGGACTCAGACTTCATTTCTCACCCACTTTCCCGCAGAAGTTCTTAATTTTGTTTTACTCTGCATAATTCCTACTCCCGCTATGAGGTATTGTGAGGAAGCCAACGTCCTTCTTATACTGGAACAACAATTTGCATCTTGTCTCTCTGACCTAGTGCCTGAACTGCACTGACTGATAGATTCACTCATTCCTTTATTGAAAAACACCCATTTCATTATTAAGATGCATGCCACTTCAATCTGGGCATTTATTTTTCTTTCAGTTTGAATTGGTATCTATAACAAGAACTTTTGTGTACAATTTTAAGCTGGGAAGGAAGAGGTCAGTAAGAAGTAAGAACTGAGGTACTGACGTGCTTTTGCGAGGTTAAGAAATACTAATGAATGGGAGCGTGCTTATGGGGGGGAAGAAAGCAGATATCCATGCGCTCTATTCTGCATAAGAAGACCATTCTTTAGTGAGGAAGCTTAATTCTAGACGGTACTATTTTATTTCATGCCACAAGACCGGATCTGAAACGATTACATGTATAAATTATAATGGCTAGTATTTATTTGGTAAGAAATCTTACCACTTAATTGATGAGGGCATTGCTTGAAGGAATATCCAGAAACTGCTCCTGTCGTATTCACCATTGGCAGCGTTTCTGTGACACTGTCCTTCAGGATGCAGGCAAACCTGTTCTTTTGAAAGAAATAGCATTACTCACTGGGAATTCATGTTTCCAAAGATGGGTCCTAAGGACAAAGAGAAGGAAACAAACTACTGAATGTCATGCCAAAGCAAATGTTTACTTAACAAGAGTCTGGCTCTGCTTTTTATTTCAACATCCCTACCTTTAAAAGAACACACGTGACCCTCCTCTCCGACAGGACATGGACAGGAATGGGCGGACTCTGAACTATTGCAGAAATGTTGTTAAGAATCTAACAGTTTTGTATTGTCAATGAGCTGGAAATGGTTTTGTTTTACAGGGCTACATTATAAAGACTCTCTCTCTCTCTCTCTCTCTCTCTCTCTCTCTCTCTCTCTCTGTGTGTGTGTGTGTGTGTGTCTCTGTGTGTGTGTGTGTGTGTGACATGCATGAGGAAGCCAGAAGAGGGCAGTGGATCACTTGGAGCTGGAGTTACAAATGACTGCCAACTTCTGGAAGTGGGTGCTGGGCACAGACCTTGGGTCCTCTAAATAGCAGCCAGTGATCTTAACCACTTAGCTATCCTTCTAGCCCCTACATGATTACATTTTCCAATGGTGGTGTAATACAGAATGTTCTGTTTGCATCTGGTCCAACAAAACCTAAAGTTTTATTCCTGGCCTTGCTTGTAATAGTAGGCTTGCCAATCTCTGTTCTAGATTTCAGAAGAATAATTTATGTTTATGGAATTATGTAAATATCTATGAATCCAGCAAGAACAAACAAAGATAATAGCAACTTAGTTTTTGCATAAAAGGTTATATATTAAATTTTAAGTTTAGCATAAAGACAGAAACGGATGATATGTCTAAGATTTTAAAAATTTGAGTAGAGAGACAAAACAGCCATAGGAAACTGGTGAAATCTGATGAGAATTTAATTAGCTGCTATAAATAACACTTGAAGGATGTAATGGTGTAAGGTAATTTTGTTAAATTTCTTACACTTTCTTAGTGGTGAAGGGCATGTTGAAATATTTAGAGGTGCAAGGATACGATATTTTAAAATCATTTTCAGTGTTTAGCTGTGAATATGTACAGGTAGGCAAAGCAAACCTGGCAGGATTTTAGAGGGAGCAGGAGATTATTGTTGCAATTTTCAAGGTATTTTTATAAATATTTTTTTCCTAATTGAATGATTAGAAGAAAGTTCTAGATAGTAGCCACTATCATTAGCTAACAGTGACAAACAGAACAAATATAAGACAAAAACGTGGGAGAGAAAATATGACCTTAACATTGAGATCTCAAGAGGCATTACAGTTTCTCACAAATGTACCTAGACATTATTCTTTCTGTAATATTTAATATTTTAATGGAATGAAAATTCAGTTTCCAACTGGTAACATCACAGTTCATATAATGGCAGGAGGGAATGTGTAAGGTGGTAATCAGTAGTGGTAAGTGACTGGCCTCAAAAATGAATTCCTCTTCAAAGAAACATGAGCAGTTACCATTTAGTAGGATCATCCGAAGTTGACTCAGCCATGAATGTGAAGAGCAAACACCGTGGGTGGTGGGTGCAGACCAGTTGGCAGTACTTGGCACTCGGTGTGAAAACAGTACTTATATCACCTCCTTGAAAGCAGGTGTCTTTGAAGAGCTTAGTGACACATTCTGTGATGAAACATGTGGGCACACATTAGTGTGGGTTTGGGTAGGTACTTACCTCGTTAGATAATCTGATAATGTCAATGGTAGCGTGCCTACTTCCCAGAAAATAAGCCTGAACTCTGATACCAGATCAACTAACGCTCTTGGGTTAGCTTCTTTAGTGAATGGCCCCAGATGGAAATAAAACCACGAACAACACATTGGCCTCAGTGAATCACATTTGTGAGTGATTGTCTTGGGAGGGCTACAGGAGAAATTCAATGATTTCTCAGCTGTTGGTCGGCAAAACATGATCCTCAGGAAACCCCTCCAGGTCAGCAAAGACTTGCCATGTTTTTCTTCATTCATTGTCTTAACACTGCAACATACTAAAAGCCAAGACTGATGGCCTATTACGTAATGTCATGTTAACATTAAAAATGGACTCCTTTGGGCCTGGAGAGATGGTTCAGAGGTTAAGGGCACTGTCTGCTCTTCCAGAGGTCCTGAGTTCAATTCCCAGCAACCACATGGTGGCTCACAACCATCTGTAATGTGATCTGGTGCCTTCTTCTGGCCTGCAGTCATACATGCTGTATACATAATAAATAAATAAATCTAAAAAAAAAAAAAAAAGGAAAAATGGACTCCTTTACCAACAAGAAGTATAGAGTCCAGGAAAAACCATTGAGTCGTATTTAGTTAAAAACTCAGGTAAGTTTTACTTACAAAAAGCTAAACTGCATAAAAATTTAAAGGTCCTCTGTTGCTATAAAGAGATACATAATAATCTGTATGGTATGTGACCTTTGGGACTGTTCCCTAGTGACTGAATAAAAAATACTTAAGTTAAGTTGTTATGATCAATATTAATTGGGTAACTACAGTTGTATTAATTATTTCTACTGAATATTAAGTAATTACTAACAAATTCAATAGTTAAACTAACCAAATGTGTAAGCTGTACATTAATATTTTAATAACATTTTTAGCCCAGAATTGGTGTATGTATTGTGCGTGCATGCGTGCATGTATGCATGTGTGTGTGTGTGTGTGTGTGTGTGTGTGTGTGTGTGTGTGTGTGTGTTACTGGATTGAATGCCTTATGGAAAATTAATCAATGAGGTGACTCAGTCTTTGGCTTTCTAGTATTACTCTTGGATACCATTACAATGTGTTATATAGGTAGATATAGATACAGGTCTATAGATAGACATAACTATCATAGAGATAATATAGGTGTAGTCTCTTTGCAATCCTGTATTTAAATCTCTTTCTTTCTTTGGGCCTCTTAAGTGGAAGCCTTGATTGGAAAATAAATGATTTTGCTTCCTTCCCTGGAATTAGCAACATGGAATTATCCCACAATATGTGGGCACTAGTGTAATTTCTCTTCATGGAATTACATTGTTTCCTACTCTACAGGTCAGGAAATGAGCTATTTCTAGGCCATATTTAAATAGTGAGAAGAGTCCTTAAAAGCTGTGATAAAGATGCTGAAGTGTAGCTCTTCACAGCTGATGGTTTCTGGCAGCGGGGTGGACATGTGAGGAAGGACTCAGTGTTCTTTAAGGGGCTGGCCACTAGGAGTTTGACCATGCTCCAGTGAGTGTATCAGCAATACAAATTGCACTTGGTGGGGTTTGTTGGGGGGCAGTGCAAAGGTCGAAGGGTGGACCTGTCAGGAAGGGGAGGTAAGTGTGATCTGGGTACATTGCATGAAATTCCCAAATAATTAATAAAAACATTATGTTGGGAAAAAATAAAGAAAGCAACACTTACCACCAGAAGCTGAGGCAAAAAAGATAAAACATACCACCTGATGTAATGAGACCATCCTACAAAGAGAAGACTGTCACTGTTTTTAGAACATAAATTGTAAATTTGTAACTAGTTTACTGACACCAGAATTTACACAGAATGAGAGGAGCGCCTCATAGGATCCCTCGGTAATGTGAGGACAGCCTTGAGCAGGGTGCGTACTGTTCAGTCCTGTCAGAGTTCTGCAGAAGCCACACTGACCATTCATCCTCCCTGCCCTCTCTCAATCTCCACCTCATCAACCTAAGAAATCCTCCAGTCACTGCCATTTGACCCCCTCCAACTTCCCACATTTGATCTTTTTTTTTCAGTTTTAAAACTCTCTCTCTCTATGTATATATGTATATATATGAATTATTATATATGATTATATATGTGAATGGTTATATACATGTGTATATATAGATATATACATATATACATGAATGATTATCTTCCTTACAATTTCTATTTCTAAAAAAACTTACTTCAAATTCATTAATATATTTTGCTTGGTCATATATGTGCCCTACTAAATACTGAAAAGGCTGTTACACACACACACGCATGTACACACATGCACGCGCACACACACACACACACACACACACACACCCTCAGATCCAGTTCCTGTATTGTTCTTTAATCTTTGTCTTGAAAAACACTTCTCATTGGCTACACTCCTAGTCTTCCACTGCCTCCGCCCTCAAGTCGACTGTCGAGGGTGACTGAGTATATCTACAACGTGAGATCAGATGCATGTTAAAAATCGACCTTTCTGTACTGAAGAAAATTAAGCCCTCATCACAGCAGTCGGGACACACCGTTAGGCGTACGTGGTTGAGAGAAACGTCCACTTTTGAAGCCATACCTGCAGACACTTCCTCTCTCCTTGCTGCCGTCCTCCGTCCGGGTGTTTTCTTTCTTCGACAGAGGCTTGTTCCCCTCTAAATGAGCTTGCGCAGGACACTGTTCCCTAAATGGTGACTTGTGCTGGTTTCCTCTGTCATGTGACATCCTGTGCACACCATGCTCAGCGTGTCTGGCGTCCGAGGATGTCCTTTCAGTCCCTGCTAACGCAACCCACCTCCGGAGAGTTTCGAGCTCTTTCCACACACCACATTTGCCTGCGCTCTTTCTCCTGTGTATTCAAAGAAGCAGCACACGCCGAGGTGGCCAGAGAATCTGAACTTGCCTGGGCAGGTGGGCAAACTTAGAGTGTGCCTGCCTGCCTGCCCGAGGTATACATGCTCGAGCTTTCCAATTCCAGCTGTGCACCGTTGATTCCAGCTCAACTACTGCAATCCGAGCAAAGAAAACAAATCTGATGGACGTGGTCATTTGCAGTAGAGTGGAGAGAGGTGATTTCGGGAGCTGGAGGCTGGATGCTGGGGCCTGAAAGCGGGAGACTGGGGACTGGAGGCTAGGGGACCAGAGACTGAGCACACAGATCGCAAGTGAGAGTCCTGCTCTTGCACTCCCAGTTTCTGTTTCATAATGTCAACTTTTCAGACGTCTACGGAGATAGGACTGGCTCTGAGGGCCAAAGTGCATATCGTACCTATTTGTGAATCCTGACCATGGAAAAGAAATCTATAGGAATAGACAGTTTTCACAGGGTTTCTTTTAGGGCTCGCTGAGACTCAAATGCTGAGCTACAAAGTGCTATGTGCTGCTACGCCGCCACCAATAATAAAGCAGAGAGGTTCCCTGAAGGATGAGGGGCCTTGTACACGCAGGAGTCTCCCAAGGGTAGGGCTTGTTGCAGTTTATAAAGAGGAAAGCCACTTCTACACAGCTATGTTTCTGTTAAGGTATCCCCTTGAGCTTGAAGAAGGATCAAGTATTCTTTGGAAAACATGACACTTCGTGTTCTCTGTTACCAGACTTATTCCTTTACAAGTCATGTCACTGGAGAAAAATAAGTTAGTAGAGCTGTAGTCTAAAGAAGTGGCTGATGGATACTTGGCCATTTATTTCACTGCCCTCCAGGTCTCTCGTTTTTAATATTAAACACTAACTAGCCAGGTGTGGTGGTACATACAGGTCTGTTAATCCCAGCACTCAGGAGGCAGAGGCACATGCATCACTGTGAGTTCAAGGCCAGCCTGCTCTACAGAGTGAGTTCCGGGACAGCCTGGACTACATAGATAGAGAGACCCTGTCCCCAAAACAAAACAGAACAAAACCAAGAACTAGCTGTAAAGATTGCTTCATGGTCTCTTGATACCTCAACACACACACACACACACACACACACACACACACACACACACACTCACACTCAAGGTAAAAATAAACTGATTAAGAGTCTGATTTAGGACTGACAAGATGGCCTAGCAGTAAAGGTGCCTGCCAAGACTAACATCCTGGCCTTGATCCCAGGGTGGAAGGAGAGAACTGACTCCTGCAGATTGTCCTCTGAGTTCTGAGGGTGCTTTATGACAGATACTCATAAATAAATCCATGTTCATTTGTGTTTTTTAAAGTCTGATTTAAGTAACTTCCAGAGAGAGATAATTGAAGGTTCTGGAAAGGCTCCCAATTTTCTATAGAAACAGAAGCTCATATTCACAAGTGCAACTATAATTAAAAAAAAAAAATTCTGAAGACCAGAACAGAAATGGAATGTGCTGAAGTCATGTGTACCAAAGAAAACATGCACTTAGTTCAGGGACAGAGTGCCAACATTAGCTTCTGAGACAGCTGACTTCCAGAATTTCAATATTTGGGGACACAGGGACACAGTCCCATAGTCCCATTCTCTGTGTATCATAGCCATGCTGCTAGGGGCTTTCTGAATTGATTTCGAACTTGTCAGATATTCATGCCTTTGTGGAGAGATGAGCCAGGATGAGAAATACTGGGCAACCCTTAAAACACTCCTGCAGGGGCTGGAGAAAGGGCTCAGTAGTTAAGAGCACTGGCTGCTCTTTCAGAGGTCCTGAGTTCAATTCCTAGCAACCACATGGTGGCTCACAACCATCTATAATGAGATCTGGTGCCCTCTTCTGGCATAAATTTGTTACAGCACTCATATGCTGTAACATAAAATCGTAATGAGTCTTCTGTCCCACCAGCTAGCTCCCAAATAATGACACAGAGACTTATTAATTATGAAATCTCAGCCTTAGCTTAGGCTTTTCCCTAACTAGCTCTTATAACTCAAATCAACCCATTTATATTAATCTGCATTCTATCACGTGGTGTTACTTCGCTTACATCTTGTACCTCCTGTTTCCTCTCCATGTCTCCTGGTGACTCTGCCTTTCTTCTTCCCAGAGTCCTCTCTGTCTCCAGAAGTCCCACCTAACCTCTTTCTGCCTAGCCATTGGCCATTTAGCTTTTGATTACACCAACCACAGCAAATACATCTTCACACCATGTACAAATAAAATAATCCCACAACACAAAATAAATAAATAAATCTGAAAAAAAACAAAACCACTCCTACAGAAAGAATGAAACAGAGGAGGAAAGGAAGAAGTTATGGGGAAAATAAGAAAAGTCGGAAGCTGGGTAGTAAATATGAAGCATCCTCCATAGACACATGGGAATATTTCTGCTAGGGCAGGAAGTTAAGGTGAACAACTTCATGAGTGTGTTTCGTGTATGCATGAATGTGTGTGTGTGTGTGTGACTTAGAAGAGATCATGCAAAAAAGAGATAGCATCTTTTTAGCCGGGCGGTGGTGGCGCATGCCTTTAATCCCAGCACTCGGGAGGCAGAGCTAGGCGGATCTCTGTGAGTTCGAGGCCAGCCTGGTCTCCAAAGCGAGTTCCAGGACAGGCGCAAAGCTACACAGAGAAACCCTGTCTCGAAAAACCAAAAAAAAAAAAAAAAAAAAAGAAGAGATCATGCATGAAGTACCACTCCACCTGTTTTACTATGTTAGAAGGCCGTTGCAGTTACTCAGATACTATGTTTTTGATCTGTTGTTGCCAGGCACCGGTGCCCACACAGCACACAATCACACATACGCATCAACAAAAATAATAAAAGTAAATCTAAAAGGAGAGATTTGCTACATTCCTATCTATATGCAGTACTGATGAAGGAGCAAGACAGAGACAGAGAGAGCTTCCTTCAGTTTCCAGCAGCTTAGTAGGGCAGAGAGGCATGGACAAGAATTACATGAAAAAAAAAAAAAAGATAAAGATTAGAGGCAGCCCTCGGAGTTTGGGCTGAGCTCTAGAAAACAGTGAGTACTGCGCTATGTGTCCCCCACCCCCACCCCCCGTGTGACATAGGAAGAGGAAGGCTCTGTCCCAGAGCTGACATGCCCTTTCTTGGGTGGATCTGCCGAAGATCTAGGGTCAAGTGCCCTCACTCCGCCCTCTGAAAGTGACCTATTCAACCCTCTCATTCTCTTAGCCTCTTAAGCACACGCTAGCCCCACGAGGCTCTGAGTGTAAGATGGGTTCCTTTGTTTACTTTGTGCACAAACACATGATGAAAAATAAACAGAACATTTCAGTCCAGCTGGACTCCAACTGGCAACTTTATCATGATACTTGATGCCACGGGAAAACTCCACATTTCAAAACTCTGCTTTGCCCAGATGAGGCCATTTCTTGAGAAAACAAAGGCCATGGGCTTACACAGTAAAAACTCCAAAGCCTTGTCCAAACACCCGTTAGAGTTATCAACACCCAAACCCAAGATACAAGATTTTCATTGTGAACCACTTCTTTCCTTTTAAATATAAAACAACTTCCGCACAGAATAAGACAAAACTGTTTATTGTATACAAAAGTAAAAGCTGAAACCATGCGATTTAAAAGGAAATTATTTCACGGGAATCAAGCCAGATTTTACAAAAGCCATTTGCTCGTGGGGTAATGCCTACCTCTCCACTTCCCATCTCAAATTCTGTGGCTAGCCCGTTAGCTCTTCCCCACTTAAGCCTCTGATTTACTCAACAAGCCTCTGAACATACAAGGAAAAGTTGGATCTTCTACAGAAAAGTTCATTTTTCTAGTTGTCTGTTTAACTTGCCCAGTAGTTTGTAAATGGTCAATTCTGTGTCAATATTAATCAGCTTAACTAAATGGAATTAAGCACGTACAGCCCACTCTGGGAATCACTGGCAAGCTGGGAATTTGTGTTACATGAGGATTAATGTCATCCACTCTGCAGGCCACTGATTATTTTTCAACTCAGTCACAATCTTGGATTTTATATAAAACCTTATATCCAAGGACACTTCATGAATTACTATTGCAGAATGCATCATCAATTAAACTCCCAAGATTCCCTGGGAGATTCCCATCAAATTCCCTGCCCTGTGTGAATACTGTGGGATCAGCCTATTGCAAGAGCTGCACACAACAAGAAAAGCACAGCCTTGTAGGTCTTCCACCTATATGTAGCCAAGACCATGTGGCAATGGCCAGGAAGGTGGTTTAGAAGGAAAGGTGCTCTGTCTCCTCACGTTCAAGTAGGCCATCCTTTTATTGTAAAGAAAATGTTACAAAGGTCTCCTCCTTCCACCAGACAGAACCAGGTTTCTCAGTTCTTTGAGCCAGATGCAACAACAGCATGGGGATCTAAGGAACCAATGAGTGAGGAGGACAGCAGGTAACTCTGAAATCTGCTGAGGTCCAGAGTCAGAAGTCAGATGAGAACGGTCCGAGACACTGTGCTAGAATCTGGAGTCTTACTTTCAACTGCTTATTTCAGATCACCCATTCACTACCTAATAAAACCCTTTGGCCATTTTGACCAACCAAGCATGATGCGCTTTGGATAGCTTCCATTTGGGGATTCTATGACTCAAGGCAGGAAACACGTTTTGACAAGATGTTGTCTTCAGCAACTGTATCAACATTGTGCTTTTAATCCTATGACAAGGATGTGAGAAGTCTGGGGCTCTCTGTTGACTTGAGAGCAGGTGGAAAAACTGGTGCCAGCTGGGCTCTTCCTTACTACCCAGCCTCCTCACGCTGGAGACATCTCCAGAGTGCTTGCACCACGGCTCTGTGTCTTCTCCAATATCCAGTCCAGGTACTCGGCAACCTTGGTGTAGACTCCTGGTTGCTCCTTGCGGGCACAGCCTTCACCCCAACTGGTGATACCCACCAACTGCCACATTCCATTGTGTTTACAAACTAAGGGGCCACCGGAATCTCCCTGGGTCACAGTGGGTAGAAAAACAGTGGTAGAGAGTTATAACAGTGATTCAAATAAAGAGCTCCTAATTCAAAGATAAGTGTCTCTTAACATTTTTCAGTCACACTTCGCACAACACACATGTAGCTCCTCAAATTCCTTGTACCCCATCAGCCGTGAACAAAATAAGTGTGCGGTTATAAGGCCAACTTGTTCCCTCCCCCTCTCTCAGATAAACCCGACAATTTTAGCATTTTTACCCAAAGTTCAAATACATCTACTTTTCTTGTATTTTAACCTAACCATGACTCATAAAAATGTCCTTAAATAAGGCATGTAGCTGTACTGATTGGGACATGCCAGTCATAGTCAATACATATACGGATATACCTATTATAAGTAATGTAATATATGCAGTAATGTAATGATATGTATTATTATGTTTAATTTGTCAAAGGTTATTTATAAAGATAAAGTCTTCAGCTCATTTAACTCTGAGTTTTAAAACAAAAACTAGCGAAATGTAATGTTGGAAAGTTGCTTTTGAATGGACTGTCTCCAGTGAACTATGATGTGCTTGTTCACGGTCTAATATATTACCTTACAAGCATCTATCCCGCCTTCTCTGTAGCCGGCACAGATCATCTGCTTGGTTATAACATAATCTCGGTATTTTTTCTGGCATTCTTCATTGGGTACCAAAGGAATAGCTGCCTTTTGTAGAGCATTTTGGATTTCACCTACAAAGCAATCAAGATAGACCTTTAAAGGCAGAAAATACAATAAATGGGGAAATAAGACCGGAATTTTAAAGGTAGTCAAAGTGGTCCACTTTTCATGGGGGTCATATTGTGATCAAAAACTTGTCAGTGAATGTCAAAGAGGTAGAATTATACATACAGAAACAATGAGAGGGAAGGGGACAGAGAAAGGGGAAGAGGTGGGAGGAGGAGGAGGAGGAGGAGGAGGAGGAGGAGGAAGAGAGAGAGAGAAGGAGAGAGACAGGGACAGGGAGGAGAGGGAGCAATCTGTGTTGGCTTCCTTCTAATGAAGTATTTCACCAGCCCTATCACCCAAGCTACCACAGACTTGGTTTCTATGATTTCTGCATTCCTCCTGCTGTAATACTGTGAGGTAACCTGTAAGCCCCACAGCCCAAATATCAGGTAATTTCCTAGGATGCTGGGAGTTGTAGTTCTTGAAAAATAACAACGAAGCCTCATGGGAAAGTACGATGACCCAATGGGTTTGTCTTATAAGTCCCGACAAGACATGTCTTGGGGCCACGCAGCTGGGAAACTCCAGGGAATGGTCCTGACTGAAGTTCATCCTGGTCAGTATTTAATATTTAAATAAAGCATGCTTTAAATTTGGCTCAAAATGGTGGACCTGGCTTTTCTCAGGATTAACACTGTCTCAACAGACTCTCAGAAAAAAAATTCCTTCATACATTTGTACTTTTAATACAAATGCCTGGCTGTTCTTGCCTTTCTTTGTTTTGCAAATTAAAATTGTAATAAAAAATTTAAAATTTGTGGAAGTAAATCCCAAACATTTGACAGCAGAGTATTGTGTTCTTTACATAGACTAAGTTCCATGACAAATTATACACTTGCAGATAACTTGATTTTTTCCCATGTCTATATTCCCATATCTATGCATATGTATATGGTGTCTATATATATGTAGCCAGATGAACATAGTGAAAATGTGAGTTAACTGAATCCAAACTGACTGGTTCAGGAAACATGGAGAAGACACAGCCAATCATCTCTTTTTGTAAACATGACACAAACATGTCTAATAGTGTTTATCTGGCACTTATTCTAGAAAGGAAGCATGCTTATTTCTATAAAAATAGTTCAAGTCTCAACACACAGGAACTCTTGACCTCAGGTCCACACAAACAGTAGATCCATCCATAAACTCAGAAGAAAGAAGAGAGAAAAACTCACCTCTCCTTTGACTGTCTTACAAGGAAAGCTGAACAAGCCCCTCGGTTTTAAATGTAGACAAAAAATGCAGGGATATGGTACTATTAGCAGCATTGTTGTGGAAGGGTCATGGATACTTTGAATTACATTGTAGTTATGACAGAAATGAAAACATCATTTATGCCCATCACTATTTCAAGAGTATGGCAAATATTAAAACAATTTGACATGTGGGTACATTAATAAAGACATATGTGCTGGGTAGTGGAGGCGCATGCCTTTAATCCCAGCACTCGGGAGGCAGAGCCAGGTGGATCTCTGTGAGTTTGAGGCCAGCCTGGTCTACAGAGGAAGATCCAGGACAGGCACCAAAACTACACAGAGAAACCCTGTCTCAAAAAACAAACAAACAAACAAAAAAAGACATATGCTTATCACTATGTTAAATTCTGTTAATAAATACCAGTAATTGTACTATAATCTAGTAGTTCTTTTTATGAATCTATGTATTTTACCTAAGCATTTAACAGTATAATTAGAGGAAAAGGTAGATTTATCATATTGCAGGAATGCATTAAAACAAATATTAAGAACTGTCCTTAAAGAGTGATGCTGGCACCTTGGCTATTGATTCCAAGGGAGAGCATGGTAAACAGGGACACTATGAGTGCTGAGGACCAGATGGGCTGCACTGGACCTGATAGCACCAGAGGGTCACAGTCTGTTATGCAGAGTCATGAGCATATAATATCTATTACGAGTAAGATGCTTAAAGCATGAGCTCATCGGTTTTTAATGCAAAAAAAATCATATTCTTGGGAATCAGAGGACCAATATTTTGGAATAAACACAAAGATCATGAGTAGGGATGGTGGAGGAGCTGACCTACTCCGTGGACTTCAACATTTAAGACAGGGACATTTCAAATGTCAGGCTGTACCTCGTTCCTTTGTGTAGCCCCATCCAGTCACCCAACAGTTGGTATAAATTGTATTTGTGTCGTCTTTGGAAGGCAGGCATATTGGCTTTTGGAATTCTGGAAGAAAATTTCATGAATAGATTTGGATTAATTAAAGCCATAGATATTGACTTTAAAAATTAATCTCTATCTTTTCCCTTATTCTTTTTTTCTACGAAGCAACACAGCAAGAATGAGCCTTCTGGGGCCAGTCAGGATGAAGAACAGGAAAGGACAAGAGAAAGTGAAGGGAGGTGACTACAATCAAAATACACTGTGTCCACGTATGAAACATAATGAAACTCATCACTGAAACTAAAGAGTAAAAAGAATGGCCTTCCAGACATCAACTTCTAAAGCCCATGTTCCCAGGAAATTCTCACATTTTTTTTGTATGGTTTTCTGGCATGAAACTTTCCCAGGAGAGGGGAACTCCTCCACCAAAATTTAATGGAAAACATTATCTACTTTCTTGTGTTTTAATATATACTGCGGCAGAATTCCGAGTAAAATTAGCCACACAGTCCCAGCGCTTGAATTGAATGCCTAGCTTGATTATTACAACAGAGTGGTGAGGAGATCAGCACACCCTACAGCAGATATCAGAGGTGGAAGGAGGGAGGGCGAGCAGTCTGAGATTACAGAGTTGTTAACAGACACTCGCAGTTCATGGTGTTGGGAGGCATTCAGTTTCTGGGGAGTGATGTGCCTGCAAAGTCAGTTACATACTCCATGCCCCTCACTGTCTGCCCCGTGTATTCTTAGCAATTAACATCTAGTCCCTCTTGTTTTCGTATAGTTCTATGTTCCTAAGCCCAAGTAGCGGTAGGTAATTCTACCAATCTTGTGAAAAGATGCGCAATGTCCTCAGATGGCAAAACCTTCCCTGTACCTACTGTTTGTTACCATACACGCAGTTCCATTCCACCCCAGAAAGTGATTGAGATTTCTTGCCCCTTAAGCAGCTGTGATTGTGTGGCAGTTCACAGAATCTTCACTTCCCAGGCAGCCTCCTCTTTCCCTCAACCCCACCAACCAGAAAACAAAGACAATTGCCGCAGATCTGTTTTCTCACTCAACCTGAAGTGATACAATTCAGTTGTGCGGTTTCCCCTTCAATGTGCTTCATACCAGTGTAATTCAAGGGCGTCTGAAGCTTTATTAGGGCAATATCGTAATTGCCTTCTGAGATTTTATATTTCTGATGTATAATAAGTTCTTGTATTCCTGAGAAAGGCGTTTCTTTTGTAATCTCTGACAGATAAAGAATCCCGCCATAAATACGCCACACGTCTGGGTAGGGGATCCTAGGAGAGAGACATGAAACCAAAGTAACATTGGCATTGTGCCTTGTTCATTTTTCTCAGTACTTTTTCTTGTGGGGAGACAAAAGAAGAAGAAAGAAAATATTCCATGTGACCTAGTTCTTCCTTCTGGCAATTTATCATCATCTAGTATTGGATCTCTAAAGATTTAGTTTGTAATAAAACCTCTTAAACTTTTATTTTAGACTCCCTTTTGACTGAACAGGTTTTTTTGTTTGTTTGTTTGGAGTATGTATGTGACTATATGAAGCAGATACACATTTACTGATAGTGTATCATAAAGAAACTTACTTCAAAATAATTCTTTGGTGTACATATAGTTTTACCATTTATTAATGATGAAAGCAAATTCACATAATAATGGAATAAATGTGCTTATTTTCACATAAATAATTAAAACATGTCTGAGTATTTGATATTAAAAGACAGAGAACATCTTCAATGATTTTAGGATTTCCTTAATATTTTAATTTCGTAATTGACAATGCTGAGAATGTCACTTCACATAAATCAAATGGCAGACATAGGTTTAGGACCATTAAGAAATTTTTGGAAATTCTATCCAATACTCAAGCCAACATTCATTCAGTGAGTTTATAAAACTCAAGTCATCAGTTCAAACAACCCTATTTAAAAACCAAAGCCTAACACTATACAATCCAAAGTACACTGTGACAAGAAACATTTTTATGTTTTTGTTCTTTGTAACTAAACTGTTGTTTCTGTTCTGTAAGAGCAGAAAGCCTGATGTACACAGAACCCACACTGTGATTCACAACATCAAATAACCTTCAGTCTAGTTGGGTTTAGGGTACAATCTGTTGGTATTGCATGGCACAGCATGCACAGTGCAAAATAAGTACCTTGTGCTTTAGGAAGAAAGGCTGCAGTGGAGTCACGTGACACAGCCCAAGATAGGAGTGCCGGAAGGCCTTGGGTCTGTCATGTGTTTGATTTTGAATTAATTTTGGTCAGTGTACATGCAGGGACCTTTTACCATTGCTAAAGTTTTTTAAAACTCCCATATTGAGTTTCACTGAGTCCATATAGGTTTACAGTTCACAGTGCAGGAAGCTGTGGCTGATAGTACTCAAAATGTACATTTTTCCTTGTAATTACTTCATGTTTATTACAAGTAAAAATATGGGAATGCTTTTGTCCTTTTCCAAGAAGCTATGGGAAAATCAAGTTCAGTTTACCAATCCTGAAAGCAATTGGTTTCATTAAATCAGAGCTATCAAGTAGCCATACTGATTAAAATAAGCCCTGGTAGGAGACTGAATTAAAGACATTCTGTTGCTTAAAAATCTACCTACCCATCTTTTGAATTTTAAAATAATCATGTAAAAGACATACAAACTAAATTTAAAATTATGATACTTTTTAGGCAAAGACTTGGAAACATTTATTACCGTCAAAACAAATAGGTCAGAGCCAAGGAGGTAGATGGCTTGGTGGGTAAAGGGCTTGATTCTCAAGCATGAGGACCCAAGTTCAGGTCCCAACACACAACTTGGGCCAATCATATGCCTGGAGACAGAGACAGGCAGATCCCCAGACTTTCTGTTCAGCTAGTCTAGTCAAAGGGTTCAGTGAGAAACCCTCTCTCAACAAATGAGATGGACAAATGTACCAGGCTTTTTCTTTTGGGCCACCAACCAGCTCCCAAATTGTGACACAGAGACTTATTATTAGTTATGAATGTTCGGCCTAGCTTAGGCACATGTCTGGCTAGCTCTTTTAATTTAAATTAACCTGTTTCTCTTTATCTACCTTTTGCCTCAGGGCTTATTTCCTTTCTTATTTCTGTATATCTTATTTTCGCTGCTTCTCCATGTCTGCCTGGCTGGAGTATGTCTGGCTTCTTGCCCTGAGCTTGTTCCTTGTTCTCCTTCTCTCCTTCTCTCGAGCCTAGATATCTCCTCCTACTTATTCTCTCTGCATGCCAGCCCCACCTATTCTTTCTCCTACCTAGCTATTGGCTGTTCAGCTGTTTATTAGACCAATCAGGTGCCTTGGGCAGGCAAGGGGAAACAAACGCAACCCATCATTTCATAATTAAATGCAGCATAAACAAAAGTAACACACCTTTACACAGTTAAAGTAGTACTCTGCTGCATAAACAAATGTAACACACCTTTGTCTAGTTAAAATAATAGTCTACAACAGACAGCAATATAGGAAGATACCTGATGTTGACCTCCACATGTGTATGCACAGGTAAACATGTACACACACACACACACACACACACACACACACACACATACACACACACACACACACACACGAAGGATCTAAAACTTACCCATCAAAGCAATGGGCAGCTGTCAGGATCCATTGTTGTCCGATGATGGTCCCTCCACACAGATGATTCTGAGATACCAGCTTCACCTGCAAGCTGACCTGCCATGGCCACTCCCCTAAAGAGGAGTTTGTTCCTCCCACAATCCTCGCATTTGTTTTTGTTGTGCAGACTAAAAAGTGTTGAGATGCGTGGTCAGCACTGGACACAAATCCCCATCCCCTCCATTCCACAGCCCCATCACATATGACCAAGTCATCAGTCCCCACAACCCAGACTTCCACACAGTTCCTTAACAAATGAGCTTCACTCACTAGGGCTGCCCACAGCTTTACACAATCTCAAAGAATACCCAGAGCTCCTGTCTGTGCCGTAGGTGATCTTAGTGGGAGAGCCATCCACGGATAACCTTAAGGAACATTTACACCTGGACAAAATGGACAGAACAAAATCAAACCTGCAGCTAAGACCATAAAATAACGACCTTGCCAATCATCAACGACATGGCCCCTTACCCCTCCACCTTGCAGTCTTCTGGAAGTGACGAGTAAGTGAAGAACTGACAGCGAATTGTCTTTGTGCAAGTCTCTTGGCACACACTCTCTCCTTGCACGAAGGTCACATTCAGTTCTTCCCCTCCAAAGTCAACTCCAGAGTAAATTTTGAAGTGGCAGGGTTCTGCACCATGCACAAACATCAAAGGACAGATAGTGAGACAGGAAATAAGCCAGAGTAACAAAGTTTCTAGTGTCTTGAGAATGGTTTCATCAACTCTTAGAAGATCCCGCATTCTGTCACACCTCTTGGCAGTTAGTAGTTGTCAACTTGACACAAAATAGAGTCATCTGAAAAGAGGGAACCACTGTGGGATGTCTTTCTGTACTCTGTGAATAGGTATTGCTCTGACTGGTTGATAAACAAAGCTGCATTGCCCTATGGCAGGGTAGGATGGCGCCAGGTGGGAAAAATCCAAGAGAAACAGTGGGAGGAGGAAAGAGAGGAAGGAGATGCTCCGAGCCACCGGCAGGAGAAGCAAGATGTAATAATACTGGTAAGCCACGGCCATGTGGCAATTTACAGATTAATAGATATGGGTTAATTTATGATACAAGAACTAGCTAGCAAGAAGCTTGAGCCATAGGCCACCCAGTTTGTAACTGATATAAGCCTCTATACGTTTACTTGGGTCTGAGCAGCTGTAGGACCAGGCAGGACACAGGAAAACTTCCAACTGCAGGGAACATTGATTGAAGGATTGTCTCCATCAGATGGACTGGTGAGCATGTCTGTGGGACATTTTCTGGATTAAGGATTGGTGGAGGAAAGCCTAGCCCACTGAGGGTGGTGCCACCTCTGGGCAGATGGTTCTGGATTGTATTTTTTTAAAAAAAAGGTAGCTGAGCCCATCATAGGAGCAAGCCCCAAAGCAGCATTTGTCCATGGTCTCTGCTTCAGTTCCTATCTCTGTTTCTGCAACATGAACTCTCTTCTTCCCTAACTTGCTTTTGGTCATGGTATTTATTACAACATCCAACAGGCACACTAGGACACACATCATGTACCATCACTGTTGAGTCACATTACCAGGGCGAGCTTTTCTGCAGGTGAAGAGACTGTATCCGGATATAGCATTTTCTTGAGGAACAGAGGGACTTGGAGTACCACTTTTAGACATCTTAAGAAAGCAAACATTCCTATTAAAAATAAGTGAGAAAGAGAAAAAAAAGAAACAGTATTAGAGGCATTAGACAGATACAAAAGCAGCTCCCATTTCTTTTTATTAAAATGCAGCTCTGAAAACTGTATTCTGAGAAACTCTCTTCAGTCAATCATATTGCAAAACTCCAAAATACCACAGGGATTAAATATAAATAGAGTCACTTCTCTCTCCGGCAAAAACTAGTAGGTACAGACCACATGAAAAGAGGAGAGAGGATAAAATTCCACCTTCTAATTAGAAAAAGAAAAAAGAAAAGGCACCAGAGAACAAATCGTTTGGATTTAAGCTGCCTTCGGTATTATATCCACACACATCCGTCTTTGGGTCCCATGTTGTGCATAAAGGAAACGGGAAGTTGTCTCAAAGTGAAGAGGTCAGACTAGACTCTAGATCAAAATAAGCAGGGCTCTGATTTCTCACAAGATTAAAGGGCAGACTGAATGAGGAGCTCTTAAGCCAATTCCAAACCCTAATGCTGGTAAGAAAGCTGCCTGATCCCTTTGCTGCTGTAGTTTGACTCAATGGTGTGTTTGTTTTACAGAAGGGCAGGTATGCAGATGAATCTGCTCATCTCTGGAGTAACTTGCACCTGGCAGAAAAACACCCACTTAAATTACAGGCTCCAGCGCTGTTAGGGAAACCAGCAATGTTCCTGCAAGCCTCTGCGAGGAACGGAAAAGGCTTAGAAGCGAGCACGCCCGCTCACACTCACCTCTGGGATTCTATCTGCCATTCGTTCGTGTAGAATGTGAAGAAGAGGCAGGAGGGATGGAAGGTGCAGATGGTGCGACACACGAACACGTCGGGGGTCATGACCTGGCCCACATCTAGGTCTGCAAAGGCGAAATGCTGGAACATATCCATGGGACAACCTGTGAACTCACCGATGAAAAGCACTCCTCAGTGACACAAGGCCGAATTTGCTTAAGCTTTAGCATAGTAACTAAGGTAATGACCACTGAGTATCCGCAGAGCTAAGTATCCTGAGTTTAACATTGCCTGTTGAGAGACTGAGGCAGCATGCACAGTGCCCGCACAGGTCTGCAAGAGGTCCTCTGGGTATATATTAAAGCTTGCAGTTTACTGTTTTATGGGATTCCTGGGTGTGCAAACGTGTGGCTCTCTGAATCTTGTGCCTTCTGTTTATTTGTTTTGCTCAATTCTGACGTGTTAGTTCTTGTTTCCTTATTTTATTTTGTTATTGTCCCTCAGAGGCCTGTTGGTTTTCTGTGACAGAAAGGGAGGGGATCTGGATGGGAGGGGAGGTGGGGAGCAACTGGGAGGAGTGGAGGGAGGGAAAAGGGTAATCAGGATATATTACGTGAGGGAAAAAAAATCTATTTTCAGTAAAAGGGGAAAATAAATTGCTATGAAATAATCTGCAAATCTGTAGTTTGTTCTTTGGAGAAATGCAAAACTTGTTCTCACTCTAGAGACAAATCCCCACACCAGATACGTAGAATAAGCCAATGGATGCTTCCTGCAACTCCATCATTTCTAATACAAGATGTTTAGGTGACTTGTGTTTCCCTTAAACTACCCTGGTCCCAACTAAGCCTTCAGAACATGCTGTCTTGTGTTTTGTCTCTGAGTATTATGGAAAGTATTTTAATAAGAAGAGATTAACATAGACTCTGAGGAGCTAACAGAAATGCCATTTGATAGTAGAAGAGCAAAGCTTCATTTTCATTTCCCTTACATATTTTTTTTCTCATAGACTTTTATTTGTGCTGTTTACATGATTTACTCAATTTGATAGCATGTAAGAATCAACTCTATACTAGTAGTATAGTATAGAAACTTAAGAATAATGATAGGACAGTACTTAATATAGTTGGATCAAAAGAGTGCACTTCTCATAATCATCCATTTGAGCAGCCTAGGGAGCTAGACTCAACTGCTCGAATTAATAATAATAATAATAATAATAATAATAATAATAATAATAAACGCAAATACATGAAGACCCTTGGTATTGGAAGAGAATGTAGATTTCTATGCCAACCTACACCTGCATCCTCCCAAGATATCCCTGGCAGGTCATCCTACAACTTTTACGAGACGTTGTTAGTTGAAAAGGAGTTTGCCACCTCATGACAAAGTCAGTTTCTTTGCTGGAGCACTGGAGATGTCAGGGACTTTTAAAACTTAGTTTCTACAAAGTCCTCTCTATCCAAACCAACCCCGGGGAATTGTGTACCAACCCATTCCCTGAAGACAGCCTTTCAAAACTGAAGAACAAACTTCACCAAAAGTTAAGGCAGTCATCTAGACTCCTTTCCAAGTTGAACATATTTAACATTTTCCTTTGTTCATTTCTAAATTTCCCATTATTTCTAGGTGTCCCGTCATCCTGGTGGCCCTCTTGGGCTGTGCTCCAGCTCTCTACTGTTGCACACGAGATGTGGAATCAGAACCAGGCAAAATGGGCATCTCGTATCTCAAAGAGTATTTTCACTTGAAAGGTCGGTTGTTAACTATGTGTGCCGGCCAGTTTTCTGTCAACTTGATACAAGCTAGAGTTGATAGAGAGGAGGGAAGCCTCAACTGAGAAAATGCCTCCATCAGATCAGGCTGTATGTAGGCAAGCCTGTAGAGCATTTTCTTAGTTAGTGATTGATGAGGGGAGGGTCCAGCCCATTGTGAGTGGTACCATCCCTGGGCTGGTGGTCCTGGGTTCTATAAGAAAGCAGCCTGAGCGAGCCATGATGAGCAAGCCAGTAAGCAGCACCCCTCCACAGTCTCTGCATCAGCTCCTGCCTCCAGGTTCCTGCTCTGTTTGGGTTCCTGCTCTTACTTCCCTCAGGGATGGATTGTTACCTGGAAGTGTAAGCTGAAATAAACCCTTTCCTCCCCGCAAGTTGCTTTGGTCATGGTGTTTCATCACAGCAATAACAATCCCAATTATGACTCTATGGTTATTAAAAGTGTTATAGAATGTTAGTGAGGGTGGGAGAATAAAAATGCCCAGAACCCATCTTTTCTATAACCGGGATGAATACCGGCAAAATGAACCAAACCACCATTTTTGGATCTCTGGAATTTAGCCAAAGGGACACACAATCCTGGGGCAGAAAAATGGCCAAACGTCAGCAAGAGCTGGGTGGGGTTTAACTCGCCCTACATTCCTGGCTCCTCCCCAGCTCCATAGAGACCTGGAAAACCAACCAGTAGAGTGGTTGGAGCCCCTCCAAAGCTACAGTCCACCATTCCCAGACAAGGGCCATTACTTGACTTGTCTGGAAGCTCCCTGGAAAATCCCCCTCCTGGGCCCTGAGTTTATTTGACCTGACCCCAGCTTTGCGGAGGGAGAAGCAATGAGTCCTGGTGATTCTGTGACCTGGCATCTGCCTCGTGCAGTGGAAATAACTGTGGGACGATACCAAGACATTAATATGGAAAGAGTCTCTCAATTAGAATTGCAAATGGCATCGACTCACTAACAGGGGAGGTGTGGTGATCTCCAAAGCTTTCGAAATCCACGCGGGAAACTGCTGAAAATGCGTCTTGAAAGACAGTTCATTTTGAGTTGTGAGGTAAGAGGCTAGACATTTCAAAGAAGGGAGGACACAGGAGATTTGTGGGACTCGTCTAAGTGGTAGCTTCTGCTATGTGACCTTAACATACGGTTTTACCCCAGGAACTACTGTTTTTTTCATCCGTAAAGCTGAACGCATTGTTGATAAAATTGAGGACAAGGGTGTGGTAATGACTGAAAGCCACCCATGGCTTATGAATTTAATTTAGAACTTTAAGCCCAGAGACAGCCTTCCTGTGGCTTTGGTTGGCATGCAAGAGATGTGAAAAGCCCTGCCTCTTAAAAAAAAAAAAAAAAAAAAGGCCATTTCCTGAAATAGCCAGGATTTTTATCACTCAGTGAAGGACACTTTAATCAGACTGAAGCAATGTGGGAACTGGTCGCAACTCAAGAAAGCTAGTACAAGGCAATCTGAGCCTGGGCATGTGAGGTGCTCTTTGAGGCTGTGGGCAGCCCCTGCATTGGGCTTGAGGCAGGACAAAAGAATCTTGTCAGCTCTTCCCTGTGCATAAAAAATACTTGCAGCCGTGTGCTGCTAAGGCTGGAGAGGTTTGCCCCCAGCCAAAACTCCTGGTGTCTCTTGTTCTCCAGCGTGGCAGTTTGGGAGATGCAGCCTAGTGGGAAGTCCTGAAGGCATAACCGCGGGAACTGGCTAACGCCTTTCTTGCAGGAGTGAGTTCCTGCCCTCCCTGAACTAGATCAGTTACGGCAAGGGCGGGTTGTTTTAAACCAAGGCTTCCTCTTGTAGTCTGTTATCTTCCACGCATGCTCACTTGACCTGCGTTTTTCTACCATGCTGGGGGTGCAGCGTCAGGTCCTGTGATGGTGACCATTATGTTCAGAGGGCAAATTTATTGTGCTAGGCTTGTGAAACCCGAATTGTTTTTAACTTGTATAAGCCGTGAGGAAGTTGCTACCTTGAATGTACCCTGTCAGCTGGCCCGAGAGGGACCACTTCCTGGAACCGTTGGGCTATTCTACAAAACAATAAAAAATAAAATAAAATAAAATAAATTGCTGATTGTTACTAAATATTTCACTGCCTCAGCTATTCCCACAAGGTTATGGGTCATAAGATGAAACAGGCTAACTGGATGTTCTGCTTTTGTATGAAACGCTTGCTTTCTTGGATGACCGAGGCACCTGCTGGATGGACATCTGTTACAAAACCCGAGCCTTGCCAGCACCCAGACAGGATATGAGTTAATTTGGCTTCCCCAAATTATAACTCCGTGGTTTTTGCCTTCATAATCCTTTGTCTAACAAGAGCTGGGCCTTACCTAGAGAACTCTCTCTGGTTTGATCCTAGCCAGTCTTTTTTTAAAAAAGCCTCTAATTTACTAAAACCAAAACTTGAATCAGACTGGCTAGGGAATCTCTGAATGACCCCAGACTCACAACAGTCCTTGCCAGATGTAGCCACCTTGTCTTTAGCTTCCCAGCCTGCAGAATCATGAGCTAAAAGAGCCTTGTTTTCTTGAGATATTTCCCAGCTGTCTGGCATTTAGATACAGCTGTGGATAAGCCGTCCAAGACAAGCATGATATACAGAACAAAACACAAGTGAATAAAGAGTCCTATCTCCTGTAGTCAAGTGTTCAAAAACTAGAAAAAAATGGGTATTAAAACTAAATAGTTAACAAACTTGAGCCCAATAAATGGCACAGCATGGAGAGGATACATGGGGAAAAGAAAAGACAAATAGGAAAAGAGGTAGGTTGTTTTAGGCTTCTGGGTCTTGAATAGAGAGGTCATATCCCAGAACTCAGAACCAATACAGGGCGTGGCATAGAGCCAGCATTCAGTATTGGCACTACTTACCATAAGTGAGCTGGTTTCAGTCGATCTCACCACTGGCACCTTGATGTGCTAAATATGATGGCATTTGTCTGGATAATTCAACTGAAACTACCTCTGTGTCTGAAATTATAGAATGCTGGTTCATGGCACTATGCTTCTTTCTTTCTTCCTTTCTTTCTTTCTTTCTTTCTTTCTTTCTTTCTTTCTTTCTTTCTTTCTTTCTTTCTTTTTTTTTTGCTAGATATGGACACCATCGAATGACCTCACAGTTTTCTCTATAGTGTCACTGTACTTTCTAATGCTGTTGTTGTAGGAGTGTTACAGTAAAACTAGAGGTTTAAGCAACATAAATTCATTGTCTTTTAGTCCTAGGGATCAGAAAAGCAAAGTATATCCTTCAGGATGCCAGGCAAAAGGTTTGCATGGGTCTGTTCCTTTGGAAGGGCATGTTGGTAGACCTGTCCCATGCCCGTTTTAATTCCTACAGGTCATGGCGTTCCTTTGCTTTAGGACTCTTCACCTTTAATGGCAGCAATGTAACCTTTTCAAGTCTTCTGGTCTCTGACTTGGACCCCTCTGTTTCCCACTTTATCAAATAAGGACCCTTGAGACTGCAGAGGGCACATTCTAGTACTCTAGAAGAGTTCTTATTTCTAAGTTTTCCCATGTAATCACATCTACATAAACCCTTTGGCCCAAACCCATCTCATCCCCAGGTCCCTGAGAGTGGCCCATGGATGCTTCCAGGCACTCTTATTTAGCACATCACAATCACAGTGGAAGCGTTCTCATCTAATTACCAATCTCGGAAAGTGCGCAGGGCTTCAGTGAGAATCCAGATACCAGGTTATCCAGTGTCTTTATGCTGGTGGGTGTCCCGCTGGAGCTGCGCTTCAGCAGGCAGGTGTTCCTGAATGTCAACAAAAGACGTTGTTATGGTTCTCAAGGTGCACACAATCGTGAGGATAACATTTGCTATTGAAATGATAACCACAGTGGTGCATGGTTGGGCTATTATTAATCAATAGATACTCTTCTTTCAGCAAAGGGCAGTTTAGGGTGCAAATGGGGTAGCCGGCAGACATCATTGTCTGGTGTTACGCCTTCATCCATACACAGCCTATGGATACCTTTGAAGTTTACTGTTTTGGAGCGGGGGGAAATGCCATTGAAATTAAGTATGTAAATGAGGGAAATGCTCAGGACTACATCCCCTTTGTGCTTTAAGTGGAGGAGAAGCAGACTTGTCTTTTTCATGGAGGATGCTGTTGAATCCTGGTGTGTTTCACAAGGAACCATTCAGCCTCACTCACCGGTACTCCGGTCTATGAAATGCATTTGTAGCGTATGTGAAAAACTGGCAGTGAATGTTGTTTGTGCACAGCTTCTGGCATTCTTCGACACTGTTGGTCTTAGAGATATTGAAGTTGGATCCTCTCATATCAAGTCCTTCATATGTGTCTTTGTGGCAAGCTGCAAAGAAACACATTGAGACAGTCGAGACATTCGGCGGAATTTCTTTCTAGACACAGACTAAACTTCTCTTCGACCAGAGCCATTTTGAAGACCAGGATCCCATTTTTGGTGACTTCCCTGGTAAGTGCAGGATTTAGAATTTTTATTGCATATCTAAATTATCAAACCCTGCTGGACATTAGCACACCCCAGTGTGTTTACCCAAGCCCTATTGTACCAGCATAAAAGCAGGTTACTTTGCTTTCCTACCCTGCAAGGTGTATGCAACAATACAGTTTCACAGAAGTTACCAGTGGCACTGATAAATAAACAAGGCGAAAGTAACAGGGGTCCTGATAGATAGTGTGGGCTGGAGATTTGAAGTATTGGACACACTGGTGTACCTTTGACTTTTGGATCGAAAACAAACAAACAAACAAATAAAACAAAAACAAAAAACCATGACCTGTGTCTATTTCTCTTTCTTCACCTACTCAGGTCTGATTGTGATTTGTGACTGCAGGTCTCACCACTGACAGCGGTGTTAAATCTTTTATGGACTGTGGGAATTTGTTTGCCTGCCTGATGAAACCATTTCAAACCTTCTTGCTTTAAAATTTTCTTAAATTCCACCACTACCATTACCACCACACTTCGCCCCCTACCCCTTCATGCCTTGTAGACCTGGCTGGTTTGGAACTCCTGTGGCAACCAGCGGAAGCCCTGAGTCCACATGTAAGGAGCAGATGAAGTCTATTGACATGGGCACAGCCATGTGAAGGGCCAATGCCTCAGACCCATGGGAAACTGGCAAAGCCTTCCCCGGGTCTTCAGGAACAACTCACCAGTGTGTGCAAAAAAAAACGAGCAACTTCACCTTCCTCCTCCAGGATGTTTACAGCCCAAGAGGAGAGACTGGCTGCCTTTGGAGACCTCCCTCTGAGACTAGTTACCCCTCCCATGTGCTGTACATAATAATCACTCTGGGGTTTGGGGGTTCAACGCTTACAACGCACGGCACTCTCTCCTTTCTCCATGTTGGTCTGTGTGTCTGTCCTTTCTTATTCCCTTGATACCCTTCATCAGTTTTCTCAGACCCAAGCCATAGTGGATGTGGCAAACTCCCATTTCAGACCAGGATGACTTTGAACTTGAAATGGTCTTTGCTTCTGCCTCCCCAGTGTTGGGATTATAGCCATGTGCTAGCACACCAGTTTTTACATTTTTTTTAAAAATTCTATTTAAGAATCCTTTTCATTGAAGTTTTGAAGGGACTTTAGCCAGCCCAACAGGTCCTTTCAAGTTTATCTTATATGTTAAAAATATAGTTAATTCAGAAAACTTAATTAGATTAGCAGTGTGTGTGTGTGTGTGTGTGTGTGTATTAGCACAAACAATATTCTATTGTATATAACTGCAAATTTCTAAGAATCATAATATTAATTTATACATAGAGACAATATGTATATACTGACTAAGAGAGAAGCATTATGTTAGGGTGTAGGGAGGTGCTGAATACCCCCCAGAGGTTCATACAGGGCAGCAATCTGTAAACCATAGAATAAGTTTCCTTTAAATTTGCTGCAGATCAGAAAGGAAATGGGCTAAGGGTTGGGATGAGGTAGTCACAAATAAAAACAACAAATAAAAACATTTTCTTAATGACCATCTGTCAATTTTAAGCCTGCCTCTCAATAATTTTGATTAAAATTGCTTTCTGAGACCACTTTTTAACCTTTTTTCACCCCAGGTATAAAGTTTCTCTGTGTAGCCCTCGCTGTCCTGGAACTCACTCTATAGACCAGGCTGACCTCTAATTCGAAGAGATCTGCCTTCCTCTGCCTCCGAGTGCTGGGATTAAAGGTGTGCACCACCGCCACCACCCAGCCTGAGACCACTTGTTAACTTGAAGATATCTGGGAGAAAGTTAGAAAGGAACTTTAGAGCCAAAGTTAGTGAGGAAGATGAAGCTGGGAAAAAAAAATGACAGCTAAGTAACTACAGAAAAGGCACAATACTCCTATTTCTTTACATTGTGTTGTCGGTCACAATCATAATATATAAAGTTTAATCAAATACTGTATATGGATTTGATTGCATAAGACGGAAAAAGCATTTTGCTTCAGGCTAACTGTAGCTATTATACCGGTGAAGGAGTATTGATAGCTAAGCCATTGTCATCCTTCATTAATTACCTAAAATTCAAGTTGCAGACTCAGACTGTGATATTGGGGGAAAAGAAGAACATCGGAAATTTGAACAGACAGGATGAACTGTTTAAAGACAAAACAGCATAATCCGGGTCGGTTCTTAAGATTCTCCAAACACACCACCTCACTCTTTTTGGCGCTTTCTCTTTCTCATCAGTCCCTGTCATGTTAGAGAAGTGTCTTCGTTGTATTAAACCTCTAAGATGGTGCAGAAATTGTTTCCTAGGACATCAGTTGCAACGGGTGTCACAAATAAAGCTCTCTGACATCCTAGCGTTCACATTCCTTGTAAGCAATGGTATGCTTAGCATGATTGACAGAACTCATACCTTCAGTCTGAGCTGAATGGCAAACAATAAGATTTCTTAAACCAGCTGTTTTCAACCTGTGGGTCACGGCCCCTTTGGGGGTTGAATGATCCTTTTACAGGGGTAGCTGAAGACCATCAGAAAACACAGATATTTATATCATGATTCATAACAGTAGCAAAATTAGTTATGAAGTAGCAACAGAAATGATTTTATGGTTGTGCGTCATCACAATGTGAGGAACTGTATTAAAGGGTTGCAGAATTAGGAAGGTTGAGAACCATTGTCTTAAACCCTTATCAATAGCCTAGTGGTGGACAGAAAGTTCTAGGTTGTGGCTTACTGCTCTGTGCCTGGTAGACATGTTGCACCAACTCCAGCCATAACCATAGAGTACCATTTCCTCCAGTTGTAAGGATCTAAAATGTCACTAGACATTGCCAACAGACCTTTGAACTGGAAAGGGCAGAATCAATTCTGGTGGGAGCCACGAATCTCCCTGAAGTGAACTTGGGGATGGGATGTCCCCTGAGTCTTACTTGGAAAGTCTTTTCTGGAAACAGGGAAGGTCTGCTGTTTGGAGTGCGCATTCATTTTCTCCAAATCTTACATTGTGTGTGAGCACCTTGGATAGCAGAGGCCCATTAAGATTGTGTGTTGTAAGTGATAAAGACAAGAACATTATCAAGATATATGTAACCCCTTCATGTGACCGAGACGCTGCTCCATCTCCACTCTCTTTCTTAGTGTTCTCTTCTAAAAGTCCATGAAAGCACAGACTTTGAGCAAAAGCTTCTGTGAGTTAGAGTGTTATTTACTCAAATCTTGTTGAAAAAGTTGACATCTTACCACTTATTTGATGACCACACTGCTTTAAAGAGTGACCAGAAATGGCACCCGTCCGATGCAGTCTTGGCAAGGTTCCTGTAATGCTGTCTTTCATGAAGCAGCCAAACCTGTTTTTTAAAAAAGATCCCTTTTTTATATATTCATAAAGGGGCATGTAATGTGAAACACACGTTACGACATTACCCAGCATTTTCTATGTGTTAATAAATAGAGCCTGGGGTCAGGAAACTGATAGCATTTCCTTGGCATTTGCTGAAGAGGATATTCTCAAGACAATTCCACTCCATCTGCAGCATTGGTTCTCTTCATGGTCATGCTTTAAGCGCAGAGAGCCAACCATATTCTAGAGTTGATGGTTATGCCTGCATTTTGAGCTTCCATAGATCTTCTTCCCAAAAGATAATTGTTTTTGTTTTATGTGTACCGAGGAAGAAACCCTGGGCTTCAAGCATGTTAATTAAGTGCTCTATCATTTCCATTCCAGCCCCCCCCCCCAGCTTTTATTTAGTTTATTTTGAGGCAAGATCTTGTTAACATCTGCAAGCTGACCATAAACTTAGGATTCTCCTATCTGAAACATCTACCTTTTCTAAAGTGGTGATTATTTTTATAAGTATTTGAATTTACTTTAAAAAGATTGAATCACTCATAATCTGGGTCTCTGTGTGATATTCATCTTGTTTATTGATCCCTGGTAGTTTCCTTCTAATGGGAGAATTTTTCTGTCTTCAATATCAACTTTATGTTAATTTTACTATTTATAAGAATCCTAGAACCTAGTTCAGAATTTAATACAGTAATCTCACATGCAGTTTGCGTTTTTTATGTAAGTTAGCACATAGGGATTAGAAAATGAGTGTCGAATTTCTAATTCTTAAATTTGGATAGAATAAAAATGAAAGTTATGTGTATGGAGACAGAAGCAAAAATTGACATTTTGGCTATTGATCAAATGAAAAAAAATTAAGGTGAAATTTCCAATTATATTTCTAATACTTGCACTTGTCAAAATTACCAGTTAATAACACACACACACACACACACACACACTCACTCACTTCTACATTCTAAACGTTCAAACTGGCTTACTACAGGTAACATTGAGTTGTGCCTACTAGATCTTAAGTCTATTATCAACAAAACTCTTGGTTTATATTTTTTTCAACTTTGCTACTCATAAATATAGTAACAAGTCAAACAACTAAATATATTTCTCTATGCAGGTAAAATTTTCACCTTTTACCAGACAAGTAACACATAAGTGAATAAAATATATATTTGATAGTTAAAGAATAAAATCCACTGTGAAGTTCTATAGCTTTGTTTTCAAATGGCTACTGTAACTGGACAGAAGTTCTCTGAGTTGTCTAGTCTCTGGGTCTGGTTAATTTGAATGTGTGATTGTGTTATTTGCATCATTTATAATAAATTTTAATTAATGTATAATAAAAATGAATAAGACAGAAATTACATAGTGGAATGCTACTTCATGCTGAAGAAAAATGAGAAAATGGATAGACTTCGAATGTCTAATATTAAATGGAGTCATATAATCTCAAAAAGAAAAAAACCCTCATGTCCTCCCTCATACGCAGAACCTAGCCAATTACATATTTATAGACATAAACAAAAATACATGTGGGGACAGTATAATATTTTGAAAGATGAACGAGAAAGTCTAAATATTACAGTATGAGGAAGGACCCTTTCTTGTTACATGCTCTTCCTTCAGGCCTTGGCTAGAGCGTTACTGCCTCCTACTGCCGTGAACAAGTGCCATGGATGTTTAGAATGTCTGTCTCTGTGTTCAGTAGTCTAGGAGTCTGCTTTGGAAAGACCGAGTCTAGGAGCTTTGGATGAAAATGGTCTTTGAACTCTCTGAGAAATACGACATCATTTTTGCATACTGGAAGCAGTTTGAGGAATGTCTAACCTGGTAATGATAAAAACATCACCTCTTACCTTTTATCTGGATCATTGGTTGAACTCACTGAGAGGAAGCTGAAGAGCAGGCACCTGGGGTGAAATGTGCACATTTTCTGACAGTACTGAGCATCTGGCGTGTATATGGCAGCTACATCCCCACCTCGGAAGAAGCTGTTTTTATACAGCTGATTCAGGCACCCTGCGACAGAACCATTAAAGATAGATTTAGGGAAAGTGTGACAGTTTTAATAGAAATGAGTCTGTTTTGTTGTTCTTTTGTACTTATCCCAATGACTACCCGAAGATCATTACAATACAGAGGGGGGTAGAAAGAAACATTATGACAATGATTTAAACAGCACCGCATGCTATTTTAAACCATCTTATGGACACTTATGCACAAAATTTGATTCTTTTTTATTACCTATATAATAATTTGTACATAAATTATCCCCGTTGAGATACAGTATGGATTTTTTTTTCCTGTCTGCTCTCTAACATGGTATGAAAACATCTCAAACATCTCACCTTAAAAACTGGTGGCACACGCCTTTAGTCCCAGCACTAGGGAGGCAGAGGCAGGCAGGATCTCTGTAAGTTCGAGGCCAGCCTGGGCTACAGAGTAAGATCCAGGACAGGCACCAAAACTACACAGAGAAACACTGTCTCGAAAAAAAAAAAAAAACCACTGATATACAACTTCCCCCCCACTCCCCGAAACTCTTTAAGGACAACCATCTCCCTACATTCCTCAACACTTTAAGGGGAGATTGAGGTCAGGACCATTATCTGCATTTTTTTTTTTCATGAAAGAAGTCAGTAACTGAGTCTCAGAGTTCAGACATGGTTCATCCCACGCGGTGAATAAATGTCCTGGGACATGAACTCACTCCGACTCTCAGTCTTGTCTGTCCGCTTCCAAGCAGGCAGTGTTACATGTTGCTGTCTGCCTCGGCCTTATTCAAGCGAACTAATTATCGAGCACTCATTTCTTGGATAAGGAAAATGCATTTGCAGAGACCCACACCCAGGTATTATGCACACACACACATACACACACACACACACACACACACACACACACACACACAGAGAGAGACAGAGAGAGACAGAGAGACAAAGAGAGACAGAGAGACAGAGACAGAGAGAGACAGAGAGTCCTTGGAACACACATCTCCCCTCAGAACGCAAGGAACCCCACAGAAGAGGAGGAAGAAAGAGTATAAGAGCCCGAGGGGATGGAAGACATGAGAACAGGCCCTCTGAATCAAGTGAGCAAGGCTCTTATGAATTCCCAGAGACTGAAGCAGCAAGCAGAGAGCCTCCAGGGGTCTGCACCAGACCCTCTACACACGTATTATAGCTTTCAGTTTAGTCCCATTTCTATGGGACTCCTGAGTGTGTGAGTGAGTGGGTCTCTGATTCTTGCGCCTTCTCTTGGGGCTCTTTTCCTTCTGTTGGCTTGCCGTGTCCAACTTGGATGTGATGGCTTTTGTCCTATCTTATTGTTTTTTATTTTGTTACATTTGGTTGTTGTCTCTTAGAAGCCTGTTCTCTTCTAATGAGAGGCAGAAGTGGAGTTGATCTGGAGAAGATGGGAGGTGAGAAGGAACTGGGAGGAGTAGAGTGAAGGGAAACTATAATCAGGATATATTGTATAAGAAAAGAATCTATTTTAAATAAAAGGGAAGAAAAGTCTAAATAAATATCTTTCAAATAAAAAACAGAACTGAAAGTGTATTTATAAGCTAACTTGAATAGACTGGAACATATATTGTTTGTGCTCTATTATATATGGTATTCTGTACCCCACATATCATTAGAGAACTGTCTTCAATTGATTTAGTGTATGAATCTATATTTACCTGAAGAGATCCAACTCAAGTCTTTTACTGAGTTTTCTACCTTAGGTAGCCTGTCCATGTTCATCAGTCAGGTTTTCATTAATTATGCAGTACTCCAGTGGCAACCTTGTCCATCTCCATTTGAGTATCTTTGATGCCATTGTTTTCAAAGAATGGGTATCTAGACAACATATAGTTCATTAAGCACTGAAGATTTCAGATTTTCAGTGTTCTATCTGTGTGGGGATCCTGCTGCTGAGTCCCATTTCGATGAGTCAAACTAGCAATATTGCTTCTTTTCTTATCGGAGAGGTGTTGCCATGCCTACCTCTTGGGTCAGGTTTATATTTGGAAAGAGCAGATTTTCCTGGGTAGATGCTCCTGGGAATATGTGTTCCCAAGTGCACATCCTGAGCTGTCCCATTTGCACAACACGCTGAATAGTAGGCCCAGTGGTAATGGTAGCTATAAAGAGACTTGTTTTTAATGTGGTAGTGTTTCATAATTATTGAACAGACACTCCTCTGCCATCCCACTGCGCAGACACATACAAAAACACAATCTGTCACCAGTGATGGCCTGAAAGTCCCTATCCTGCAGTTGAGTCTTGGTAAACTAACATGTGACTCAGCCGATGAAGAAGAGTAGCTAAAAATGTTCTAATTATAGAATTGTTCATCCTCCTCCTTAGCTGGTAATGGCAACGATGATGATGATGATGATGATGATGAGGAGGAGGAGGAGGAGGAGGATGTTAACAGTGTTGTTTGTTCACAGTCTACGTAACTTATATGATCTATAATGATGACGTTTTTTCAGTTTTCAGGTTGACCCCATGTCCATGGACATTGGGCATGTTATTTAGTCACATTAAAAAATTACATGGTCAAAAAAGAAAAGGAAAAATACCATCAATGATGAAAGAAAAGCATCTAACTTTAAAAATTCTGAGTGAGTGGCAGAGAGAAGGCTCAGGAGCTAGTGCTTGTACTCAACCCTAATTACCTGAGTCTCATCCCCAGAAGCCCCAGAGTGAAAGGGCAGAGCCAGCTTCCACGAGGTTTCCTCTCATCTCCAGACGTGCTCTATGGCACCCGTGTGTGTGTGTGTGTGTGTGTGTGTGTGTGTGTGTGTGTGTGTGTGTAGACATAGATAAATGAATATTAGAACATTTTTATAATTAAATGTCAGATATGAAAAGATAATTTACCAAAGGAACATAAGTGACTATAAGTATATAAAAACTGATAACAGTGCAGGAGTCACCTTTCCTATGTAAGTATAGCTACTATTCCTCATCATAAAAGCCTCTTTTTATAGCAAATGGAGACCATCACAGAAAACCACAACTTAACACAATGCAGAGGTCAACATATTGTGGGGAGCCCAGCCCCAGTGGATACATCTACAGCACATACCCTGAATCTATGGCTCAGGGGATATCATGAAAGAGGGCACGGAAAGATTATGATAGCTAGAATACCAGAAAATCTGCTGTGAAATAAGAAATGGCTGTGTAAACAAGACCAGAACAATGGCAATACCAATGGACATGGTAACATGGAAGGGGGAAAGTTTCATGGGGTCCCACTCTTAGACAAAGAACTAACTACAGGCAACTAATGATTTCTGGGAGTAGAAAAATCAGCCTCTCCCAGAGATGAGCTCGCTTATTGGTTATCCAGTCTACACATATACACAAACCATATACACACAAGCAAAACAAACTCAGCAAGTTGTATTTATACACTTTTGGGTACATATATAAATATGCATGTAATGAGAATAATAAAAGAGTAAGAGGCAACCAATTGAGAGTGAGCGAGACATGGTTGAGGTCTGTTGGTCTCAAGATGCACAATAGCAGCAGGCCCAGAAGCTCAAGCCAAGCTGGAAAGAAGAATAAATCTGAATTTCTTCCTAGAAGCCTATGAAAAGCCTGTTACAAGACTAGCTCTGGTTAGGTCATCACACCAACCCTGTCTGAAGCTCCTGGCTCTGGTCTGGCTGAGTCAAAAGCTCCAGCCTGGGCATCAACAGCAGACAGAGCATCTCCAGGACCATGTGGACCAACACCTGGAGATGGTTTCTCAGGAAGAAATCTGGACACTATTTGCAGGAAGCTGATTCTATGTCAGACTACAAAGCAACAGACATCTATTAGCACTGTCCTAAGCGGGACAGTTGAGCACTCTCATATGCTTGTGTGGAAAACCAAACAGAGAATGCCTTTCGGGAAGACAATCCCATAATGTGTGCCATAAAACCTTCAAAAGCATTTACACCTTTGTATCAAACATTTTTTATTTCCAATTATTTAATTTATAAATTGATTGAATATGTGCAAAGCATGTACACACAAAAGACCACAAAGAGGAATGGATAACAAAAATATTTGGTTGGATTAACATTAGCTATAAATAGCAAAGGTATGTTAAAGTTATTTTTAAGTCATTAATAACACTTTTATAAAAACAGATAGATACATGCAGAAAAATATGAAAAACTAAAGAAATAATTTAGCAATAGTTGTTTCATACTTTGGGACTACATAAAATACTCAGTTTTAAGTATTATATGTATTTGCATCTCCAATTTCCCTATCATGATCACAAGTTTTAAGTCATTTTTTTCTCTTAGCTATGGTCCATAGCATCTCTGGCTAGTAATCCTCCACGTTCGATTGGTTTGAGCATAGCAATACTTGTGACATAGACAAGCAGGTAGGGTTGATGGGACAGATGGAGGGAGGCATAATTAGCAGATAGGGAAGAAAAAGGTTTTGTTTTCCCCCTAAAGGAATGACTTCTCTTTATGAGGATAAGCCTTCTTCAGAGCTCTTTACCCTGTCAAATACTTGAGAGTCAAGAAAATAATCCTTGTGGTGTGACCATATCGTATGTCACCCTTGACTCAGAAGCCACCCTTCATTGTATATCAGGGGAATCCTCACTCTCTAACGACCATTGAGAGGGGTTGTTCAGGGTCATTCTTATCTCTAAAATCTAATGGAATACACAGAGAAAGAAAGCACACTGACACCTAGTGCTGAAAGCTCTCCATTCGGACTACCAAAGGAATAATATACTAGTTAAACCTAAAGCAAGTACCTTCAGTTCAGAAAGAGCTCCCTAGGCCTTATATTAAAAATATCATATATTAATCAGATACTTGGATTGGACTCAACCACTGTACAGGGTCTAATATTCTTTCCATCTTTCAGGTAGAGTTTGTTTTTTGAAGGCTGATAACAAAAACAAGTATGGAGGGTGGGGGTGGGGATCTGCCAGAGAGTAATCCCTAAATGGGAATGTCTGCTAACAAAAGCATCAAGAGTCTGTTGTCTCTGAGCCCCTCCCCCTGTCATGTGCATTTGGGGCCATGCAGCTAAAGAGAAGTTCTTGCCTTGAAGTATCAGCAGCTGCCTCCTTCCCCCAAATTGTATGGTTAAAGGCTTTCTCTAGGAGTGGAATATTCCTCTCTCACATACTATTTTTTAACTGCTGTAGCTAATACTCACCACAGGACACTGTAGCAAACAAGGAAATGAAATAACCCACTTGGTTGAATAAAATCATCCTATGAAAGAAAAAAAAATGTTTTGCAACTGCTAAGTTTAGAACACACTTACCATGCATTTAATATACATTTAATTTAGTATAGAATTTGCTTTTTTGGCAAATGTCTAAATTGCAAACCAAGCACATCATCTCCAGAATGAGGATTTGGAGGTGATATTTTGTAAATGAAAAAAATAAAATATTTATTACGCTTTCCAAGATTATAAATTGAGACCTTTGGACTACTATTAGTATATTTATTGTTATTGCAATTATACATTGTTATTACAATTAGTGTATTTATTGTTAATTTTAAAGGTTTATTTCTACTAATTTTGTAAAGAGTTAATAAAAATAGTTAAAACACTTATTATTTTTATTAATTTATGCAAAATTATTATAAATAAGGACAATAATATCACCCGCAATCTCTACATAAAGGAAATCTTTGAAAATCTTCAAGCCAACTTAAAATTTTTAAACCAATCAAAAACTCATTCTTGATTTTAAAATATTGTATGTTAAAATATTTGTACAAAGAAAAACAATTCCTTCTGGATTTTCAGAAAATTAGTGCATTATACCAATAGACTTTTTTTCATGCAGAAATAGTTATACTAAAAAGAAAATGACATAGGAGGTGATCGGAATAAGAGAAAGTGGCTACCTGGACGGACAGTTGCCTGTATGGTTCTCGAGAGGAGGGAGTCAGTCTTCAAACTCTCTGAATATGGCGCTGTAGGCAGTATTTGCTTGGCTCCAATGTTGACACTGGGCTTCTGGCATCAGTTTCAACTGTTTAACCTGTCAATACAATCCCTGAACATCCCAGTCCAGGTTCAGCTACTTAATATGTCAACGATTCCAGGAGGTTGTATAAACACGATGACAGAGCTGGAGTTTCCAACATGCTTCCCTTTGCAGAAGAATCCCTGTGAGCAATTCTCCACACACAGCAATGCCTTCCCAACTTCCAAGGAATCCAGGTGATGTGTTACAGCACCTGGTGAGAATGTAGACTTAATGCAAAGATGCACTAAAGAATGTTAGAAGTTTCACGTTAGCCATGACACCTTGCCACCAAGCCTGGGCAGCACAGCACAGAGATGTGCTCTGCATAGCTAAAGAAGAGTGACACAAACATCCCTTTTCACAGGTCCTAGCACCAAGCCCATCACAGGAAACTCCAGTCTTAGGCCAGCAACTGCAGACCCAGGCTCCAAGATGATAATTGTAACCTCAGCCACCAGGCAGGCCCACTCCAGTGGGACATTTTCCAGGACAGTTATTGTAGATTCAGGAGCAAATCCATGCCCATAGGCTTGAGGATATAGGCATGGCCACTGAAAGCTCAGTTTCCAGGCTAGTTTCAATGTCAGCCCCTTAGGTCAGTCCTCAACTATAAGATCCTGGCTCCACTGAACCAAGGATCCAGGCATGAACCCTATGGACTCAATCATCAATGTAATCCAAATGGACCCTGATGCCAGGTTATTTTCTGTGGACTCAAGATTCAAACTTAGCCTCGCACATACAACTCTAATGTGATGATATTGTGTCCCCCAATATATTGTGCACCCTAATAAACTTATTTGGGGTCAGAGAACAGAACAGCCGCTAGATAGACATAGAGGTCAGAAAATGGTGTGTACCTTTAATCCTAGCATTCTGGAGGCAGAGATCCATCCATATCTCTGTGAGTTCAAAGCCACACTAGAAACAGCCAGGCATGGTGACACATGGCTTTAATCCCTGGAAGTAATGACAGGAAGCAGAAAGGTATATAAAGCATGAGGACCAGAAACTTTTTTAAGCTTTATCTTTTAGCAGCAGTTCAGCTGAGATCCATTTGGATGAGGATTCAGAGGCTTTCAATCTGAGGAAACAAGATCAGCTGAGGAATTGGCGAGGTGAGGTCTGTGGCTTGTTCTGTTTCTCTGATCTTCCAGCATTCACCCCAATACCTGGCTCTGGGTTTGTTTTTATTAATAAGACCTTTTAAGATTCATGTTACACTCTAGCTCCACAGTTGGCTAACCCAGAATCTATTGATTAGCTAACTGACAAATAGGTTTGCCTGGTGAAGCAAGCTTTAAAAAGTCTAAAATAATTGTGGGGCTTGCAAGGTATCTCAGTGGGTAAAGGCATTTGCCATCAAGCCTGAAGATCTGAGTTCAATCCTCAGAACCCACACAAAGGGAGAGAGCCAACTCCCCAAAAGTGTCCTTTGACCTCCACACCCACATGTCTGTGTGTGCACATCTGCCCACACATATTCACACAGTAGAAGAATAAATGAATTTTAAAATTGTATTTAAAATAGCTTCTCATCTAAAGGTGCAGACTCCAGCATACAGCCAGAAGATCAAAAGTAATCAGAAAAAAAAATAACATCATCAAAAGAAAAAAGAACCCATATATGACCCTAAATAAATGAGGTTTATGGGAGCCCACAACTGACTCAGTTTCCCAGTTTGAATCTGAAGTCTATTCTAAGTCAATAGAGTTCAGGCTTGTTTGCTCCAAGGCTATGATAAAGTCCTGATTAGCCCACAGAGTCTCCTTGAAGGGCTGTGAGACAGTCCTGATTAGCCCACAGGAAGGAACATACTATCTAGCTAGATGCAGGCTGCTGATGCCAGCTGGAGGTACATCGAGATAGAAAATGAAACTGCCTGCTCCTTGACGCAAGGTAGGATAGACAGTGGTTGAATGCCTGCGCTGTGCATTCTTCCACCTCTTTCCTTCAAAACTGTATGTAACCTGGCTGTGAATAAACTCGGGGCTGTCTGGCATTAACAGGCAGACCTCTCGACTCTTTTCTGTCTTCTTCATTGTCTCTTCAATCTGCACGCCTCTACCCAGCTACCCAGCTGACTGTCGGCAGGGCAGGCTCCGACAGAGGGCCAGCTGATTGTCTGATTATAAATTTGACCTAGGGGCTGGAGAAATGGTTTGGTGATTGAGAGACTGCACTGGTCTTGCAGGGGACCTGAGTTCAGTTGCTAGCACACTCACCGTGTAGCTAACAACTACCCGTACCTCCAGCTGCAGCAGATCTGATGCCTCTAGCCTCAGTGGGCATCTACACTCGTGTGCACGTACACCTATATAGAGATACACATACACACATAATTAAAAATAAAATCTTTCAAACAGAATTCAAAACAACTGTCTTCAAGAAGTTCAGTGAACTATAAGTGAATACAATTAATGACTAAACAAAGTCAGAAAACACCGCACAAATGAAATGGGCAGTGCCCCAGAGAAGGGACCAGGAAGCACAGAGACAGGTCACTTATATTATTCCCAGGACAAAATGAAAACAGAATTTTAGAAACCGCAGAAAACCTAAAATCCATATATAACATCATCATGAAATTGTTCATTCTTATAATCCCAGAAGAATGGATAGAAATCTTTGAAGAAATACTAACCAAAAAACCCTCCTCAAATATGACAAAAAGATTATCCAGCAATATAGATAAGTGTAAAGGATGTCGCATTATATTCCATCTCTCAGAAGTCATTAATGAAGAGACAGTTTCAGAAACAGCAAAAGAAAGGCAGCTTTTTACATACATAGGAAGTTTATAAGACAGTTAGTGGATTTCTTAGTGCAAGCCAGGACGACACTCCACGACAGTACAACAGGTTTAAATGTAGATGGTTTCTAAGTTCTAACAGTTAAGATGTTTTATTTATACTTTACAATAGCCATAAAGAAACTGAAATACACATGAATGTAAAGAAAAAAGAATCCACCCAGAAAACAATGGATACAGTAAAGTACTAGAGCCTTCATTATCATCGAATGTAAATAGATACATAAATTTCCAATCAAAAGCTGTAAAATGGCAGGCTGGATGAAATCACATAGCAACCTGCTCCTCACTACATGTGTGACTCTTTTGTACAGCACATCTTTGCTGTACACACTGCCCACATTCAGTCAGCGGTTTTCTCAGTTACCAAATCAAGGGCCATAGCTCCACAGTGTTCATGGAGTTCAGGACCATCTGAGTTTCAAGCATCCACTGAGGATCTTAGAAAGTAACTTTTGTGAGAAGGGGACTCTTGTACATAATAATAAAACAAGCAGTTCACCAAAAGGACTCATCAGCTGTAGATATGGATGCAGTCAACATAAGGGCACCTAAATACATAAAGAAAATATTAACAGACCCAAAGGGAGAAGTAGAAGAAGTAAGCGATCAATGTGGATAGATCACCCAGACACAGGATAAATAAAGCATTTGTCAGCACGGCCCTTGAATACACATAGAAAACATGTCCACGCGCGCTCAGAGCATTGTTACGGCAGCAGAGAACACATCTGTGGAAGCACACACGGGATGTCCAACTAGGACAGATCCCATATTAAACCGATGTCAAGTCTTCTCAGCAAATGCAGGAAGGCTGAAACCACATCAAGCATCTCTCTAAACACAGCAATATAAGAAACTAGAAATCAGTGACTGGAGGAAATGAAAAAAAAAGTCACAGATTTGTGAAAATTAGCAGATTCCAGAAAAACTGGTGAGACAAAGAAAAAAATTGAAAATGAACAAAACAATATTTTGAGACAAACAAAAGTAGAAACATGGTGTGCCCAAAATGTATGTAATGCAGCAAAAATAGATCTACTAAAGAAGGGTTTGCAGCAATAAAAATTTCATTAAAAAAAAACAGAAAAAACTAAAATAATCTACCTTTCTGTGTAAGAGAACAAGAAAGAAAAAAAAATAAACTAAGCCCAGAATCAACAGAACAGAAGCAAAGTGAAATGAATGCCAGAATAGTAATAGGAAAGACCAATAGTACTGAACTGTTTTTTGAAAAGATAAAATTGAGAAACTGAGCTTGGTGAACTCTGAAATAAGAGTCAAGCAAACAAAAGCATAAACCAAATTAATGCAACATAACTATAAAGTATTTATCTCAATTTATCTTAGACTACATTAACAAAATTCTAGGAATCTATCACCTGTAAGACAAAAATCATGAAAATCTGAAGA